GTCTGTCTTGTTTTGAAAGGTTGGAATTCTGCGCCTAGGTTTGTGTCCGGCCATCCCTTCCAGATCCAATTTAAAACGCACGCCAGCGTTCTATCTTTCGCTGTGGCTTTTGCGATGTCTCCCGCTGAGACTTGCACGTTCTCCATAGTTTCAACTAATAGCGTGTATGCAGCGGGTGCAGGGTCTTTCATGTTTTCCGGCAAGGGGCATCGGCTGAGTGCGTCAGCGTGGGAGGTGGTCTTCCCTGGTTTGTAAAACAGCTGGTAGTCGTAAGCCGCCAGGAACTCTATCCACCGGTGCATTCATGGTGACAGAATGGGGGGGTGTAGGTTTGTCTCCCACGATAATCCCCAACAGCGGCTTGTGGTCGGTGATGAGTTTGAATCTCCGCCAGTACAAATATTTGTGGAAACGCTTATTGCCAGCTACTGCAGCCAATGCTTCCTTGTCTAACTGGCTGTAGTTTCTTTCCAGCTTGGACAAAGTTTGAGAATAGAAGGCTATGGGGGCTTCTTTGCCATCCGGCATGCAGTGACTTAATACTGCTCCGATGCCAAATGGGGACGCATCGCACGTTAGTCTAATCAGTAATGTCCCATTGTACTGTACCAGCACTCTGTCCGAAATCAATGTGTTCTTTATTTTTTCAAAAGCAATCGTCTCTGGTCTTCCCCATTTCCATTCCGTCTTTCTGTCCAGAAGCCGACGCAGTGGTTCAGCAATCGTAGCTTTCTGCGGTAGGAAGATATTATAAAAATTCAATAACCCTAGGAACGCTTGCAGTTCCATTTTCTTAGTGGGAGTGGGTGCTTCTCTGATAGCCTTCAGTTTGCTTGAGGTGGGACATATTCCGGTGCCATCTATTAAGTAACCCAGGAACTCTACTTGTGTTTCAGCTAAATGGCACTTGTCCTTTTTCACTTTTAATCCCACCTCCTGGAACCTGGCTAGCACTGCTCTCACCCATTGTCGTAGTTGTCGTAGGTCTTTCGCCGAGATTAATACATCGTCGAAATATGGGACGACCCCCTCAATCCCCTGTAATAGGCGCTCCATCAGGCTCTGGAATAACCCCGGGGCTACGCTCACTCCAAACTGCAGGCGCTTACACTTGAATGCTCCCCTGTGTGTTACTATGGTCTGCGCTTCTGCTGTAGCATCGTCTACGGGGAGCTGTTGGTAGGCTTGTGCCAGGTCAAACTTGGCAAAGATTCTTCCTCAGCCCAACGAGTGTAATAAGTGTTGGACCACTGGCACAGGGTATGCGCTTTGCTGTAACGCCTTATTTAATGTACTTTTGTAGTCTCCGCAGAGACGCACTGATCCATCTGGCTTGATAGGAGTCACAATGGGGGTTTCCCACCTAGCATGGTCAATCGGCTCTAGGACTCCCTGGGTGACTAGCTTATCAAGTTGCTCATCTATCTTGGGCCATAGAGCAAAAGGAACCCTCCGGGGCTTGATTCGGATGGGGGCAACTTGGGGGTCTAGGTTGAAAGATATCGGGGACCCCATGTACTTGCCTAATTCGCCATTGAAAACGTCCACGAATTCTTCCATCAGTTCTGCCTCCCATTGGTCATCTCCGATGTGATCAATTCTGACTACAGCTAGTCCCAATGGTTCGAACCATTCCAGGCCCAAAAGGCTGAGTCTGTCCCAGTCCACGATGGTGAGGGGAAGCTCCCCTCTGAATGCCTTGAATTGGATGTTGAAGTCCTTTGTGCCCAGAACCGGAATCTGGTTCCCTTGATAATCTACTAGTGTGAGTCATTGGTGCTTGAGAGCGCGGGTTGAGATGTTAGGGACCAGTCGCTTGATGGTCTTCCAGGATACCATGGATAGGCATGACCCTGAGTCGACCTCCATTTTGCAGGGTCTCCCCTCGATGAGGATGGTCGCCACCATCTTGTTTGAATTTCCCGCGCTCGCATGGCCTACGATTACTGTCTGGTGGGTTTCTCCCCTCTCTGATTCGGAATCCTCACTTTTTCGACCTCTTCCGAACAGTTGTCTTCTCCCGCTTGTCTGGAATGGTCAACTCTTTTGTGGTGAACAGGGTGGTCGGTTCGGCCGGCTTCTCCGGGATGCTGGTTGGGTTGCTCTGCATGCTCTCGCTATATGTCCCTTTGGTCACATCTCTGACATATCGCATTGCGGAACTTGCATTCTGCCCTGGGGTGGTTGCCTTCGCATCCCGCACACCAAAAGTCTTTCTTTCCTTTCCCTTTTGGCTTCCCTTTTCAGTCCGGTCCGAGGTGGTGCACTTTGTCCTCATCCTCCTCTTCTTCCAACTCCATTTCTGCTTCCTCATAATGAACCGAGGATTCCTCTTTCCCTTGCAGCCCCTTGTTGACCTTCTTCATGGCTGCCACGGATATCTGGGACGCCTCCGTTGCTGAGGCTTCTTCCAGGGCCTCCTTGAATGTTATTTGGGGCCTGGCCAGCAACCTGCTTTGTAGTGTGAGGTCCCTTAGTCCCAGCACTAGCCAATCCCTCATGGCTTCCTCTAGACTCACAAAGTTGCACGCGGCGGCTATCTCTCTTAAGATCGCCATGAACTCACTGATCGTCTCGCCCTCTCTCTGGTCCCTCCGGTAGAATTCTTGCCTTCTCACCAGGGACGACGCTTGGGGGGCGTAGTGCGCCTTCAGGGTGCCTTGTAGGGACATCCAAGTCATGGTTCTCAGCTCAGCAGGGGCGGCAAATGCTTTTGCCATTTTGAATACAGCTGGACCGCAGTGCGTGAGAAAGAGGGCTCTCTTTCTTTGTTCCGACAAGCTCAACAAGTTGTTCGCCTCCATGTACATGTAGAACCTTTCCATGTACGATTCCCAATCTTCTCCAGCCGGGTTGAATGGTGCGGGTGGGCTGATCGAAGACATCCTTGTTAGCCAATGATCTGACCGGTGTCTGTAATCGTTGATCTAGGTGGCTGATGATTGCTCGTGGAGATGTATTGTTGCGTTCGTCATCATCCTTCAGGATCCCACCTTCGTCGCCAGTGTTAAGTATAGGGCGCAAAGAAGGACTGGACACTCTGCTAGCAACAAATACTTTATTTAACTCCATAAACTGCAATGGCAATCCCAGCCGTGGCAGCCCCTTTTATAGCCCGGAGCTGTCCACGGCTTCAGCCACTGACGCTTGCTTAAGTTTCCCACTCCCAGGTCTCTTTCATTGATTGGCTTGTTTGAATCTGCCATTCAATACTCAACACAGAACATACAGATATAATGCATGTGAGGAATAGCCACCTCTTGGGGAAGGTATGGCGTCCTTTTATACCATCAGAGACATCAGTTTAGTACCCAATTCTGGCCCCCTGGCCCATGCCCTGCATCGGCTGTGCAGCAAGGAACAGGGGGCTGAGTGCCTAGTAACCCTGCTTCTTGAGATATCCACCAGGCACAGAGTGGTACAGAAAAACAAGATAACATAGAGGTGAGATCACTGGTAGAAGCAAATGGCAGAGGCCATTCTAATTCTTACGAAAGCAAAACAGCAAGTCAAATCAATTCTACTGACTCTACTATTATTTCGTTGTATGGGTATACTGTGTATACATGTACAATGACAATAAAGTTTTTTAATATTTAATATTATGTCCCACTAATTCTACCTATTCTATTATTATTACGTCCCTTCAGCGCGATGCGGAGAGAACCGGCTGAATTCCATCACTGCCTTCACTGCAAGTATACAGTAACAGGATCTTGCCAGTCTACAAGTACTGCAGTTGCCCCCTCCCTTGACTTTACTTTCCAGAGAACTGAGTGGGGGAGGCAGGGTCCTTTCTGAGATGCTTTGTGCACTTCTTTTCCTTCTCTGCCCTGAGATATCATTTGCATGACAGTTGTCTAAGATGGGGCTCTTCCTCTTGTCTCCCAAGGTCATCCCCACACACCATTACAATTTCTCACTCACTGAGAAATATGATAGCACAACCTCTGCAAACAGGGAACACAATCTGCTAGATAGCTGACACCGCATCACATTCCAAGCCATGCCCGTCTATATGCACATGCATAGGAAAGAGGTGGGACTTCAATTGTGGCACCATGCCAGACATTTTGCCCATTTTTACTCCAGTATGAATATCCCTTGATAGGAGGAAGGACCTGGAAATAAGAAGTCTCTGTTAGGACACCCTTCCTTTAAGAAATTTGTCCCTGGAGTGGAGTTGGCTCTATTCCCCAAACATTTTGAAAAGTGGTTAAATTTATTTATTTTTATATAACTTTCAGGGACTGAAGAGTGGCATGGTAAACTATAAGAATGTTTTCCCCATCTTTTGAGAGAGGAGTGTTGTGAAGAAAAGGAATTTAACAAATATTTAGGCATGTTTTGTCAGTTGCCAATTTTTTGTGTATTTGTAGACTATTTTTCTTTACGGATTAGATTCTATATACTGCTCAGAGTTGTCAGACTGAACTGAGGTAGAAATCTCAGTAATAAAGGGTCCTTTTAAATTAAATTTATTAAATTAATTATTAATTGTTTATTAAATTTTAAATAAACTTTACATTTATTAAATTAAATATTTAATATTAATTTATTAAATTAAACATTAACTATTAAATTTTAAATTTAAATTTTAAATTATTTACTGCTTATAGAACCTCCCAAATCTTAATGCATGTTAGAAATCAAACTTAAAGGCTACTTTTAAATCAGCTGGCACTTTTAAGAAAATGATCAGAACATTCAGTATTTAGGATCTAAACCATACTGGGAAAATAATTATTCTCTGTAGTTATACAGATTCCTGCATAACAAGATAAATGCTAAAGGACACTTTAAAGGAATGCTAAAAGGTGGCAAGGCTAGTTCAACAGTTCCATTAGAGACCAGCTAAGTCATTCTCAAAAGATTGTAAGAATGGATGGAGAATAATTAATTAGGTGGAATACTACTCTAACAAAATTTCTAAGACTTTTTTTATCATTAAGGATCTAACAATTAGGAGCAGCAACCTTTTTTTGTTGTTCTTCTTGTAGTCTGGAAATCTGCTTTAGATGAAGGATTTATTTGTGAATGTTTGCTCTTTTCTGCCTGGATACAAAGATTTTTTTTTTTAACGGAATAAAACAAATTGTTACGATCACTTCGGATTATCCCAATTCACTGGAAGAAACAGAACATGCATACATTCAAATGTTGAAGAAATCCCCCATGGAAATCCCCCAGTACACTTATAATCAGCTTTATGCTCTATTGCCTTAAAACTCATCACTAAGCTATATTGCCTGAAAGTCAGGAAAGAAGCCGGTTTTGTAAGCAAATGCTTGCAAATGAGTTTGAGACCCATAAAATACCGTGTGTGCTACACTGTTCTCTACGGTGAAGATCTGAAAATTGGCTTCACTCCAGAGCCCCAACCCTGAGCAGAGAAAGATGAGCTCTAAGGTCTTGCTGTGCCTCTCATTGGCTCTCTCCATCCAGGGTGAGTACATGTGCCAATTAAAGGGGACCAAGTATGTATGTATGTACGTATTTATTTATTTATTTATTTTGTCAAGCATATACAAGATAACAGCTAAAAGTATAAACATGATTAAGAATACATGAAATGAGTACGAATAAATGGGGAGAGTAGGACAGGGACGGTAGGCACGCTGATGCTCTTATGCACACCCCTTACAGACCTCTTAGGAATGGGTTGAGGTCAACAGCAAACAGTCTAAGGTTAAAGTTATGGGGGTGGGGGAAAGAAATCACAGAGTCAGATAGTGCATTCCAGGCATTGACCCCTCTGTTGCTTAAATCATATTTTCTGCAATCGGGTTTGGAGCGGTTTACTTTAAGTTTGTATCTATTGTGTGCTCCTGTATTGTTGTGGTTGAAGTTGAAGTAGTCATTGACAGGTAGAACATTGTAGCAGATAATTTTACATACTACGCTTAGGTCAGGCTGAAGGCGACGTAGTTCTAAATTGTCTAAGCCCAAAATTTCAAGTCTGGCATAAGGTATTCTATTGCAAACAGAGGAGTGGAGTACTCTTCTCGTGAAATATCTTTGAACTCTCTCAATTGTGTAAGAGTAAGCAAGAGGGGCTGGTAAAATCTAGACATCTCTAGTCTTTCATGGGAATACAATACACTTAATGAACATAGCAGAGATAATGAAGGCATATAAATAGTGATGCACATCTGGGAAACTGGGAAACATAAAATAAATACGTCTTTCTCTTTATGGGTGGGTGGGGGATGGATGGATGGATGGATAGATAGATAGATGGATAGATAGATAGATAGATAGATAGATAGATAGATAGATAGATCCATTTTTTTCAGAAGCATGGAATAAACAGGAATCTCAATAACAAGTAGATAGAAGCAATTATTGTCACATTGGTACCGTGAGCAAATAATGCTCAAAGTGCCATCTGATGGTCTGTGGGACAACACCTCAAGAGCCATAGAATATGTTAGCTTCTCTCCTCTTCTTAAAACTGAAAAGAAAGGAAAATTAACACTGGATTCCTTCTCTCTCCTTTCTGGTGGCCTCCGAGATACTACATTTCTTTCTAAGATCAAGAGATCTCCACTTTGAAACATCTGCAAAGTTTGTGCAGTGGTGCATATTAGAAATAAGGCTAAGGATTCCGAGCTCTCTCCTCTTTGTTATACATAGCCAAATGCCAGTTTTGAGATGCGCTGTAAATTGTTTTCCTTCTCACTGTGATTTTTTTTAAAAAAAATAAACTAAACTAGAACAGAAAACACTGTTCTGCTTCCATCTTTCCAATCATTAAAACCTCTTTCAAGTTGTGCTTGACTTCTTAGAGTCTAGCTTACAGCTCTGAATTTTCCCCTTGTCTCCCATCTATCTGCTAATTAGTTCCTATAATTAGACTATTTTTATTCAACCAAGATTAGCTAGCAAGGATCTGGCCATTCTTTAACCAATACTGAACTAGCAGCATGGAAATTTTCGTAGCAGGTATATTTTTTAGTTCAGTTATCAGACCATCCGTTGAATACACAAATACTGAAATGGAGCTGTGGGGTATTGAAGTTATGATCTGTTTAAATGTGTCAATGTGATTGGGTAAAAGCTGATAAACATATGATGTTACCATTTATGATACACTCATAGAATTGTGAGGAGGACCCCTTGGAGAGTAGAGCCGAGGACTTTGTACAGTATCTGCATGACAAAATCACTCAGATTCGGGAAGGTCTGGACTCCGACTGGGTAGTTTCATAGGGGATGACTGAGGCAGGTCCTGAGAATGTTATCTGGGATGAGTTTGATCCTGTGACTCCTGATGACATGGACAGGATTCTGGGTAGACTGAACGCAACCACATGTTTGTTGGACCCGTGTCCCTCCTGGTTAGTGCTGGCTTCTCGGGAGGTGATGCGAGGCTGGCCCCAGGGGATTATAAATGCTTCACTGAGTGAGGGTGACTTCCCCGCCGCCTTGAAAGAGGCAGTGGTGAGGCCTCTCCTCAAGAAGCCTTCCCTGGACCCAGCAGTGTTGTCTAATTATCGTCTGGTCTCCAACCTTCGCTTTGTGGCAAAGGTTGTTGAGAGTGTGGTTGCGCGACAGCTCCCCCAGCACCTGGATGAAACGGTGTATCTGGAGCCGTTCCAGTCAGGCTTCAGGCCTGGGTACAGCACAGAAACGGCATTGGTTGCGTTGGTTGATGATCTCTGGAGGGCTCGAGACAGAGGTTGTTCCTCTGTCCTGGTCCTATTAGATCTCTTAACGGCTTTTGATACCATCGACCATGGTATCACGCTGCACCGGTTGGAAGAGTTAGGGGTGGAGGGCACTGTGTTGCGGTGGTTTTCCTCCTTTCTCTCCGACCGGTTACAGTCTGTGTTGGCAGGGGGGCAGAGGTCGACGCCGAGGCGCCTCATATGTGGGGTGCCACAAGGGTTGGTCATCTCGCCCCTTCTGTTCAACATTTATGTAAAGCCGCTGGGCGAGAACATCCGTGGTTTCGGGATGAAGTATCATCAGTACGCTGATGTTACTCAGCTGTACATCTCCACCCTGGACCACCCCAACGATGCCCTTGAAGTGATGTCCCGGTGCCTGGAGGCCGTGTGGATCTGGATGGGGAGAAACAGACTCAGGCTCAACCCACCCAAGACCAAGTGGCTGTGGTTTCCGACGACCCAATATAGTCAGTTGGTGCCATCACTGACTATTGGGGGCGAATCGCTGGCCCCCACGGAGGGGGCTCGCAACTTGGGCATCCTCCTGGATTCACGGCTGTCTTTAGAAGAGCACTTGATGGCCATGACCAGGAGGATTTTTCATCAGGTTTGCCTGATTCGACAGTTGCATCCCTTTCTGGATTGGGACTCCTTACGCACGGTCACTCATGCCCTCGTCACTTCCCGCCTGAGAGTGCAACACTCTCTACATAGGGCTCCCCTTGAGGAGCACCCGGAGGCTCCAACTGGCGCAGAGTGCGGCCGCGCGGGTGGTTATGGGAGCGACATGGCGTTCCCATGTAACACCTCTCCTGCGCGAGCTGCACTGGCTCCCGATGGTCTTCCGTGTGCGCTTCAAGGTCTTGGTTACCACCTTTAGAGCGCTCCATGGCTTAAGACCTGGTTATCTACAGGACCGCCTGCTGCCACTAATAGCCTCCCACCGGCTGGTACGCTCTCATAGAGAGGGGCTCCTCCAGGTGCCGTCAGCCAAACAATGTCGACTGGCGGCCTCCGCTCCTCCTTCTTATGCCAGCACTAGAGTAAATGCAGCTTGAAGTGCTGACACTGAGACTATGCTTGGGACAAATTCTCACCAAATCCTCTGTTTAACTAGGTTTAAGGTTTAAATTTAGTATGCAAGTCAACCAACTGTCCTGTGCTTCTGTGAATGGCTGAAAGGATGGCTGTCACTGTTGAAAAGCAAGATGCTACATAATGTTCTAAACAACATTCCCCTCCAGTTTTACAATGGAAGGTTGTTTTAACAATATTATTGCAATGTATTTCTCTTTCCTTTGGTCATCTTAACGTAGCTTGCAAAGTAGCAAAATATATTGTTCTTTCCCCCCCACCACCACCAAAGGCACAGCCTCACATTACTACTAATTAAAAGGCTATGTAATACTATTTAAAACAGAATATCTATGAAACCACACTTGTGAATCTTGAAAGTCCCTTTCAAAAACATGAGCTTTGTTCACTTTGGCAGATGGATAGGTTTCTGGGAAAAAAAATTCGAGAGCTTTTGGGCCATGATAAAAAAGCTGCAGAAACAGAATATACTTAACATATCACTTAGCACTAGCAATAACACTTAGATTATCCACCTCTTCATGGTGCTTTACAGCCCTCTCTAAGTGGTTTACACAGAGTCAGTATATTGTCCCCAACAATCTGGGTCTTTATTTTACCAACCTTGGAAGGATGGAAGGCCGAGTCACTCTTGAACCCGATCAGGATTGAACTACTGACAGTGGGAATATAGAGTTAGCCTGCAATATTGCATCCTAACCACTACACCACCACCGCCCAATATGGCTATGAATTCCCTGTTTCAGGGAGAACGAGAGGATGTCAGTGGTGTTGCAGAGTATACTGAACTCTGAGCTAATCCATTGGTCAAGATTTGGACAACTAAGTAGCCAAAGTTAAAACAAACCAAGTTTAGGATATTGTGCAAATTAGAGATGCTCTGTCTTGAACTAATTTAATTGAGTGTGTTGCAAAACCAAATAAAAATGCTTTTGTTTAATGGGCACAACCAATTTTCCTTCTCTGGAAAGGGATCCCCATACAGATCTCAGCACGCAGGGGTGAGCAGATTCTTTCCAAAGAAAAACGAATCAAGGTGTTTCTGATTTTCAGCTCTCGTTACAAGGTAAATCTCTGCTCCTCTTCTTCCTTCTTCAGGTGGAGCCTTGCAACCTGTGCCTATCCAGCCACCTCAGGCCTCATATGCCGAGGGCTCTACTGCTGTCCTGCAGTGCCCTCTGCAAAGTGGCAAGATCCAGGACTACCATGTCTTCTGGTTCCAGCAAAAGCCAAGCAAAAGCCCAGCCTTCATCCTGAAGGATGGCAACAATGGGCAGATAGATAGATCCTCTTCATTTGATGCACGTTTTGTGCCCATTCGGGATGCCAACACCAATGCCTACATCTTGCAGATCCAGAAGGTGCAAACAGATGAAAGTGCCACCTACTTCTGTCTAGCAGAGGGAAATTATTTCCAGATAGCCGTTTCAGGGAGTGGAACACGGCTCAGCATCACAGGAGGTGAGCAGGAGTCCCGCATAACAGATGGAAGTAAAGCAAAGGCACTTTCTTTCTCTGTGTCTTTGCAAGGGAGGGAGGGAGGGAATAAATGCTGCTAGAATATCTGAACAGGAAAATAGTGATGAGATACTCCCTTGAGCTGTACACTCTGAAGCAGTCTCAATCCTGGAGCAAAAGAATGGAATGTTTTGCTTCTGCCAAAGATGAGGATAGTCTCTTGTATTTTAAATGTTATGAAAATCTGGGCTGCCCTGAGGCTTTAGTGCAAGGGTCCCCAACCCCCAGTCCATGAACTGGCACTGGTCCGTGGCATGCCAAAAATTGGTCCGTGCAAATAAGCGAAGCCCCATCCAAGGGATGCAAGCAGAACATGAAATCACACTCCCTCCGGTTCACGGAAAAACCTCTCTCCACAGAATGGGTCCCTGGTGCCCAAAAGGTTGGGGGTAACAAATGAGTAACCCCCAACCTTTGGGGGGTTTAATGAATAACAAATGGGGTTTGGTGGTCTTATTGTGAGAACAGCAGCCATTGGCTAAGCCTCCTGAGAACTCAACAAGCAGCTGAACCAAATAAGTGAAGGCTGCCAGCCTACGGAAAGCTCTATTTACAAGGGGCCACTAGATGGCAGCAACGTTAATGTTGCTATTGCTTGTTATCCTTTATTTTATTTATTTATTTTTTTAACAAGAGAGAACCATGGCAATTTAATGAAGACAATGCCCTTTGAAAAATGCCTATGAAAATCTCATTTTCATAGCAAAAGAAACAGTAGCAGCCAATAAAGCCTGGGCCATTGACAATTCTCTGGCCAACCAAAAGGAGGTGACTTCCCTGAAACAGTAGTCTCTAAAACCTAGCTCTGGTCCAGAATTGCTTCCTTCACTGCACAGAAAATGTTCAAAGCGAATCAGGCTCATGCATTTGAGTGTGATCCAGTTCCTATTTATGCAACAGATTGGCTGCAAGAAAGCAATGGCCAAATGCTGCCAATGGCTACCATTTGTGCTTACCCTTAGTATTAAAAATTCTCCAGGCAATGGGTCAAAAAAGTGGCTTGTTATCATTTAGTGGTGATTGGGTGAAGTAGAATTTACTTAGACTGTATTTGCACAACGGTTCTGTTCCCACAACATATATATCCCCCAGTCAGCTATTAACCGAGTCAAATCTCCTTGCCAGTGATTCTGACAGCATTCAATTCTGTCCTATTAATTGAGTGGGGAAACATGGCGGACAGAGTAGACCTGAATGGCAAAAATCTTTTCTACTATAGTAAAGTCATGTGGATTTTTTGCAACTAGATCTGGTAGAATTAGAACAAAATGTCCATACAAGTTCTCCAAGAACTGTCATCCCACAAGGCCTGCTTGCACCAAAAGGGTACTGGCAAGATAACATGATATCGCTAGTCCGGTTCCAATTAGCCAAGAAGAGAGCAATACAGGTAGTCCTCGACTTACGACCACAATGGAGCCCAAAGTTTTTGTTGCTAAGTGAAACATTTGTTAAGTGAGTTTGCCCCATTTTACAACCTTTTTGCCACAGTTACTAAGTGAATCACTGTAGTTGTTAAATTAGTCAAACTGTTATTAAGTGTATCTGGTTTCCCCATTGACTTTGCTTGTGAGAAAGTCACAAAAGGGGTTCAGGTGACCACGGGACACTGCAACAGTCATAAATATGAATCCGTTGCCCAGCATCTGAATTTTGATCATATGGCCATGGGGATGCTACAACAGTCGTAAGTGTGGAAAAATGGTCATGAGTCACTTTTTTCAGTGCCCTTGTAGCTTTGAACGGTCACTAAATGAACTGTTGTAAATTGAGGACTAGCTGTAGGCATAGCTTGACCATTTCAACTGTCTTGTGTCTGAAATGCCTATTCTGTGTCGCTAAGTTTTAGCAGTGAGTTCTGTAATAGAAAGGCTTAGAACAGGGGTCTCCAACCTTGGCAACTTTAAGCCTGGAGGACTTCAACTCCCAGAATTCCCCAGCCAGCTTTGCTTTGCCAGCTTTGCTGGCTGGGGAATTCTGGGAGTTGAAGTCCTCCAGGCTTAAAGTTGCCAAGGTTGGGGACCCCTGGCTTAGAGTACTTTTTATATATTTTTTGTAATGGAGGAACAGGATGGCAAAGAAATCAGTTGCTGTCTCTAAATGCCAGACTTCACACTCCACAAGCGACACCTTTACAGATTTCAGTGTTGAGTGAGTGCTCTTGCAGCTACCATGTTTCCCTGAAAATAAGACCCTGTCTTATATTTTTTTTGAACCCTAAAATAAACGCTTGGCCTTATTGCCACACACTCAAAAACCCGATTGGGCTTATTATCAGGAGATGTCTTATTTTGGGGCAAACAGGGTAATCAGCCAATCCAGCAGAATTTTAGACCAGATCTCCAAAAAGCAAGGGTTGACTCTAAATTGTAGGAGTATGGTTCCGAAAGAACAATATAATGACAGTTTGGGAGAATGGCAAGACTCGATTATTCTTGTTTTCCCCAGGACAATCGGCAAAAGTACCATCATCGGTCATCATATTGTCTGATGTTTCCCAGAAACCGGGCTCTTCCGATGTCCATGCCTTATGCATAGTTGAAGACTTCTACCCAGGCTTACTAGAGATCAAGTGGAATGCAGCTGGGAAGGAGATAACTGAGGGAGTGACCTCTGGACAAGTGACCTCAAATGATGACGGCACTTACACCACCTCCAGCATCCTGAATGTATCGCACCATTTCTTTAACTCTGTCACCCCTATTCAGTGCTCTGTGAGTCATGAATCTTCGGGGGCCAAGATTGAACGCAGCCTGGAGTGGTGCATGCAGAAGTGAACAGTTTCACCTCAACACCTCCCTTCTTCCCCTGCTGCCACTTCTCTTTCCCCTTTAGCTCTCTGCAAAGTGTGCCCTAGGGGCTCCATGCTTTGGCTTCACCCTCAGTAAAATATATTCACTTGTCATTGCTCTCTGATTATTTATTTATTTAGGACAGGGGTCTGCAACCTTAAGCACTCAAAGAGCCATTTGGACCCGTTTCCCACAGAAAAGAAAATACCGGAAGCCACAAAACCTGGGTGGGTGTGGCCAACTCGATGTCACTCACTTCCACCAGTCACATGAACCCCCCCCCTAGCCACGCCTACCCAGTCGGTCATTAGGGCAGAGAACTAGTTAAAAAACACTGGGAACCACAGAATCCTTTTGACCTATCTCTCTCTCCCCTCTCTCTCCGTATCTCTCTATGTCTCTTTCTCTCTCTCCCTCTCTCTGTATCTCTCTCCCTCTGCCCCAGCCGCTTCTCCATCCCCCGCCGTCACCCTTACAGGTCAGGCAAGGAGTGACTGGGAGGGGAGGGCGAGGCCAGCCAGTGGTGGGATCACCCAACAGGAAGCCACAACAGAGGGCCCAAAGAGCTGCATGTGGCTCTGGAGCCGCAGGTTGCTGACCCCTGATTTAGGATGAGCATGGAAGGAAGTTGGGCAGTCTCTTGTGATTCGAATGGGGCTTGGTCAGTAGTTGCTTCCCCTTGAATTCAGTGCTGCCTAGAATTCATGCAGCTTCCATGTGGAAAGACCAGTCTCTGATGAAGCTTACACTTACATGGGGATCGCATTTAAATATGTTATGAGTTGGCACAAGCCATTTCATCATAAATTAATCCGTTGAGCTGAATTTACATTACTTGCTAAGCCCCATCCCAGTGGTGGGTTGCTACCGGTTCGCCCAAACTGGTAGTAGCGGTGGCGTAAGGCTCCACCCACCCACCCGGGCATCATCAAATACGCTCTGCGCAATGTGCAGAAGCTTCTGCTCATGCGCAGAAGTGGCACATGCGCAAACAAAGCGAGCATGCACATGAGAGCAAACTGGTAGCAAAGGAAGTAAAACCCACCACTGCCCCATCCCCATTAGCCAAGATTACTACTAACTGAACATCCCCCCTTAAAAGTTATGTACATGCATCCTTATGTTGAATGCAAGTTGTTAAGTCTCATGATTTGAGTAAAAATGTCAAAATGCTCATTTTTTTTCGTTGCCCCCTCCTCGCCCCCTTTATGGAAACAAAGGAATAACTTAATAAGCCTGTTGTATGAAGATATCCATGTTGCGGTCTCTGTGTTTTCAGTAGCATTGTCTCTCATTTGGTTAAGTGTGATGAGAGCAGCAGACTCCATCCTTTCCATAACTTTTTTGTTTATCCATGTTTCCCCCATCACCCCATTTCCAAATTTTGCTCTCAACCCACTCACAATGACCATTTTTTTTTGCCTGCCATGTTGCTCTTCCTTAGTATGTATGTAGTGTGTGTGTGTGTGTATGCGTGCATGCACACGTGCAGGGATGGGCTGCTGGGGGTTTGCAGGGGTTCGGGACAACCTCTAGCTATGATTCTGTGCAGTTCAAAGAACCCCAAAATCCCATTCCTGGCTGGCCCCGCCTACCCCACCCCACCCCTCCCAGGAGTTCCCACGCGGCCCGTTTTGGATGCAGGTAAGTGCAGGGTGCATGCAGAGGCTCGGGAAGGGTGAAAAACAGGCCTGCCAGAAATTCTGGCCTGTTTCTGGCTTCCAGAGAGCCTCCGGAGCCTGGGGAGGCTGTTTTCGCCCTACTAGAGGCTCAAGGAAAGCATCCGGGGCCCAGGGAGGGCAAACTGTGGTGCAGGAGGCCAACAACCGGGCAGAGAACCCCATGGTAAAATTTTTGAAGCCCACCCCTGTGTGTGTGTGTGTGTGTGTGTATCTGGCATCACATTCTTCGCACTGGCCTTGAGTATGTTAATGTCAAAACACTGAAATTGCACTTAAACAAAGCAACATGGTGGCAATTGTGGCCTCCAAATACAGTGGCTTTCCTCTGCATCTTCCTACATCTCCTGCAGTTACACTATGAACTTCATTCTTACATCCTAAATACCAATGATGTTGCACAGAGCTCTTCGTTAGACATCTCTCCATCACACTGTCCATCTCACAGAAGGAGCTTCACTGTAGAATCTGCTGCCCCAAACTTTGGTGCAGTTAGCAAGGGGACAAAGCAAAAGAATGTATTATGAACATTTTCTGACAGTAAGTGGAAACCTGCTGAACGAACCAATGAAAGAACAAAGAAGATGAGGTGTTTTTTTTAAAAAAAAAATTCTTTGATACATGAGAGGTGAAACAGACTGCAACAAGCTCCATTTTCAAACTTTACATCCTTTTATCCACCTTTTCATATCTTGGTTTTCACAGTGCTTTTTCCACTGTTGCCTGTATTAAGAGAAAAAGAATCAGGTAATAAACTGCATATGCACATGTAGTATTTTGGTACAAAGCACAGTATCAATAAAAAATGCCAATGCTTTTCTCCCAGTGGTAGGTTCATCCTCCCCCCACCCTTTACTCCTGGCTTTCTGCAGGCTGATGAAAGCAATTTTATTAGATGGGTTTTTGAATCCTGTTAGTGGCTTCAGATAGCCATTTTCAGTAGCAATCTTATTGGTGGGCTGGATTTTAAAACATTTAATTTGTCATTTTATTCTGATAGGTTTTTGCAGCCTTATTTCATTTCACTTCTCTGAAAGTCTTGCGCATAACTTAATCATGCATATGGTTACGTTTCATAAATGAGTCTATAAGATTAAGTGTTTGCATCTTTGGAATTTGCTGGCTGGGTTCAAACAATTCTGTAGACTAAATTAAAATGGAGTTGCTGTTGTGGTTCAGCATATTGCAGTGATCCACCACAATTTTAGTGACTTGTGTAAACTAGGCCATCATGTTAAGCGATAAAGTAACATTTATGTGTACATAGACATAGTGTCAACTTGCAAAGCTTTCAAGTTGCCATAAGCAACTCATGGCTCATGAATTAATTAGGGCATCTTTCGGAAACTTCACACATAGCACGCTCTTTGGACATTATAATTGTGTTTTTTAACTTTTTTTTCCTTCTTACTTAGGCTCCCATATCTCTATCAGCCTGAATATAATTGCCTCTCCCAGCAACTAAAAACTGTTTTTTTAGCTATTTTGCTGTGAAAAATAGCATTAGGAACTCTAATATTTGTTTCTTTAGAATCCCTCTGAAGTAGATGCCACATGCCGACCCAGATATGGGAAATCAGCTGTTCTTTTTGCTGAAAATTCAGATAGATTACAGCAGAAATACTTACCTAATACTAAAATATAAATTATTTGAAAACTTGAGGAAATAGGCACAAAAGAGGTAGGATTTCTATATCTTTAGTATAGCCCTCATTTTTCTCATTCCGTTAGTTGCAGTTTTACATATCAGCAATGAGAAAATAAGAGATTAGATTTTGCAATTTATAGTAAAGAGTTTCATATATTTATAGTTTGGGTCATGTGATTCTCCTTGAAGATGACATTTGGAGTGGGTTTTTTAATGTTATGAATATGAAAAATTGCAGACATGTATTTGCATATGCATAAAGTACATTTTTCCCAAAATTTTCTTATCCACAATTTTATTATCTGCAATTGTTAAAAGTTAGGGTTGAGATTAAGAACACACACAAATTACAAAGTTCAACTGTATTTCATAAAAAGGAATAATGAAGCTCAAGTTATTTAAAAGAGTTGGGAGAGGGAATTGCTAGGCAATCTGTACCCACAGATTTTTCCTTCCTTTAAAGCAACTCGTAATGACATGCACCCATAGTCTCTATCATATTTCTCTATTATATGGGAATTTTTTGTCATTTTGGCAACGACAGCTTCACATACAAAATGCAAGTGAAAAAAAGTTACAGTGTACCTCAGTATTCATCGTTAATTGGTTCCAGGAGACATAATGAGTACCAAAAATGATGAGTACCAAACATTTTTTCCCCATAGGGAATAATATATAGAGTCACAAAGCAACCGACACCAACAAATTCTAGTTTGTGCGTTGAGTACCAAACAAACAATGAGCACCAGGACAAATTTTTCACATCAAAATGCATTGAGTACCAAATTCGATGAGTTTCAAACCAGTTAAGTTCCCACATACCCCTGTACCAGTTTAATATTAGCCATAAAGGACAAGAGAAGGACAGGGCAGAAACCAGCAATTCTATATGAAAACATAGTTCCAAAGGACATATTGGGCTAAATCACAAAATTCTTCAGAATTTGGGGTACAACCCACAACCTAGAACAGGGGTTAGCAACCTGCGGCTCTGGAGCCGCATGTGGCTCTTTCAGCCCTCTGCTGCAGCTCCCTTTCACTGGTTGGCTCCACAATTGATAGGGCTTTCGATTAGGACAGGTAGAGGAAAAAGGACGCTGCGCTAAGAGGAGACTCTATGGTGGGGGAACCAGACTTCCAGTCGGCTCCAGAATTGAATTTAGGGCTTCTAGTTAGGACTCTTTTGAGTGTTTAAGGTTGCCGGCCCTGACCTAGAACAAAGCTTATTAGGGAAGTAGTCTAAAAGAGATCCCCATCCATGAATCCAGTTTTTTTTTTCTTTAAAAAAAACTGATCTAAGGCATTCAGGCAATACCAGATTGCCCATCTGTGAGCTAAGTGAGATTGTCCCAGTCTACAAAAATCACAGAGAGGGGTCTACTTATCATTAGACAGAAGCAGCCATTTGTTCTCCTACCAGGCAGCCATGCCAGTAGAGTCTTTCACAATCATTTTGGCACAGTTGATGTCATCTTCAAGATCAGGATTCAGCAAATCTTAAGAGGGAGAGAAAGAACACAAACAACAGAGGAAGATAATAGAAATGTGTGAACAAAGGCAGCAGACACAAAGCTGGAAGAAGCTCTTTGAGGCAGAGAAAAGACTACAGGTAGTCCTCGACTTACAACAGTTCATTTAGTGACTATTCAAAGTTACAACAGCACTGAAAAAAAGAGATTTATGACCATTTTTCACCCTGATGACTGTTGCAGCATCTCCATGGTCATGTGATCAAAATTAAAATGCTTGGCAACTGGTTCATATTTATGATGGTGGCAATGTCCCAGGGTCATGTGATCATCTTTGTAACCTTCAACGGGGAAATCAGATTCACTTAACAACCATATTACTAACAACTGCAGTGATTCACTTAACAACTGTGGCAAGAATGGTCGCAAAACGGGGCAAAATTCACTTAACATCTGTCTTGTTTAGCATTTTAGGCTCAATTGTGATTGTAAGTCAAGGACTACCTGTACTTATTTATTTCCGGACTTTAAAAAATGCTGTTTCCATGGAGACTCCTGGTGGGTTTATAAACCTTGATAGTACAGTGGTCTACGCACCCTGTTATTAACACAGCTGCCTGCAATTTCTGCAGGGTTCGAATCTCTCCAAGGCTCAAGGTTGACTCAGCCTTCCATCCTTTCTAAGATAGATGAAATGAGGACCCAGTTTGTGGGGGCAATAAGCTGACTTTGTATAAATATACAAAAGTATGAAGGCTATTGCTTAGCGCATTGTAAGCCGCCCTGAGTCTCCGGAGAAGGGCAGCATATAAATCAAATTAAAAAAAATAATAATAATCTAGCTCTAGTCAAACTTTATTTACACCATAAAAAGCTCAACAATCTCAGTCAATAGCATTAAATATGAAAGGCTTGGCAAAACCGTTTGCTGCCTTCCCAAAGTCTATTAGGGAAGGCATACTCCAGATCTCCAGAGGAAAATGATTCCATAGGAGTGGAAGGAAGAGTGACAAGGATTTTATCCTGGTCCCGCTTCCCAAAATCTCACACAGGAGGCCAATCAACAACTCAGTTCACCATCAGTTCCGACATACACCAGATATTCTGTCCACCCCATCAAAGTTCCCAGCACCAGGGCTTGAATGTGATCTCTCCTGGCAGAGGTATGATCCTAGCAGCAACCTTGGTGTGAAGATCTTTCCTTTTTCTAAATGTGCTTCTGATGGTGATGACCCCCGAGAGGACAGCATCTCCTATAGCTTTGAATTCGCAGGGGTTTCAAATAATCCAGTCTTATGCAAGACTCTATAAATCATAATCAGCAGTCTGAATTGTGTCTAGAAGGAGATTGATTGTCAAAGCAGCTTCAGGATAAGGAATAATGAAAGCATTTCTTTTGAGGCTCGGTGGTCTGGTTTGGTCGGTTGAATTAGACAGGTAGGTGCATATCTAGGTTGCAATATGCCTCTCAATCTTTTTGCCTGAACCACAAGATGGGTGGCAAATAAGTTTGATAAATAAATAAACCAACAAATAACCTAGCAGACATCTAAAACTTTGTATTTTAGATTGGAAGCCCAACCGCTCCAGCTTATCAGTTGGAGTCTCCTTATCATTAATGACCAATAACTGTTTTTGCCAGCAGATGAACTAAAAGACTAGTAATAAAAATGAATTCCTTATACTCCTTGGGATGCTCAAACTTATGAGAGCTAGAACCTCCCAATTGGAAGAGGAAGCCATCTATTGAAATGAAACAAATTTATATGAGACATAATTATAAGTCCAATTAAACAGCACTGCTTCCTCTTAGTCCCCAAATTTTAATTTATGCTTTTCTCCATAGGTACAAGCCTAGCTATCCGTACATGTTTCTACAATTCCTGAGCAGGTCAGTGAAACTGGAAATGTTCAGTTCAGGTTTTCATGCCCACAGAGGCAATCTGTATACATGCATAGACAGTGGTGGGAGTCAAATAATTTAACAACCGGTTCTCTGTCCTAATGACCAGCTGGGTAGGTATGGCTCGGTGGTCATGTGACCGTGTGGGCGTGGCCAACTCAACATCACTCACATCGATGGGCGCTTCGCCTTAGCTGTTACAATGTAATAAGGGTTAACAAGAGAGCAGTGGTGGGTGTGGCTTGGTGGGTGTGGCTTGGTGGGCATGGCAGGAGAAGGATACTGTAAAATCTCCATTCCCACCCCACTCCAGGGGAAGGTTACTGCAAAATCCCCATTTCCTCCCGATCAGCTGGGTCTTGGGAGGCAGAGAATAGATGGGGGCGGGGCCAGTCAGAATTTTTACTACCGGTTCTCCAAACTACTAAAAATTTCCACTACCGGTTCTCCAGAACTGGTCAAAACCTGCTGAAACCCATCTCTGCCAGAGAGGCAGTTTCTGTAAGCAGGGCAATAAAGATTAGGCTAAAAACAACACCAGAATGTTTCCTTCCTGCCTTCCTTACAGGATTAGCCTTGTAAAGTGGAAAAAAACAACAAAAAAAGATTTCTTCCAACAACCGGTTCTCCGAACTGCTTAGAAAGTTAACAACCAGTTCTCCCGAATAGGTGCGAACTCGCCGAATTCCACCACTGTGCATAGATCATTATGAGGTAAAGTTGAGGTATAGAACTTCAGAAGTCAGACTGCCTCTGTAAGTGATCTCCCAAATGAAAAGGACATATAATTCTCCATATTTAGAAAGCCAGTGGACTAGTTCTAGGCTGGACTTCCAAGCCTAACTACTTTTGCAGCATCAAAACTGGGCTGTTTAAATCCAGCCAAGACATTTTAACAATTTTATGTACTACATTAAAGGAACATTTGTTTTGAATGGGGAGAATTCACCTGCAGTTTGAAGTTAGAAACCTCAGTTAGTCAACCTAATTACTCTGAATCTGTATCTCAGCTTATACAGGGCAAAGAAGGAACCTAGAAGCAACTTCCTAGAGATTTGATTATTATTTATGGTTAATTTTAGAGATTATTTATGGTTATCTTCCTAAACACATTACTGCAACATCTCTGAAGTGATTCGTATGCCTGACAGCGCTACCAAATACAAAGCAGGTGAAGGCCAACTGATACATTCTAGAGAGTTCCCATAGTCCCTTCCCATTAAACATGCTAGAATGGGCTGAAGAGAATGATGATCTAAAAAAAAAGAAAGAAAGAAAAGCCAGAGAGCATTTAGTTACCTTTTTCTCAATTAAATATTTGACACACACCCACAAACCGATCTGTAATTTAAATAGCCAGCAGGTGGCGATGTTTCAATACTTCTTGAGTGGTACAATTGTTTTGATTGGGTGGTGGTGTCAGAGGAATTACCATTATATATGGTGATGTACAGAAAAATTAAGGAAAGAAAGCAAACAATAGTTTGCCTGCTTGCTATATTTGGGTAAAAAAAAAAAAAGATTTATCATGAACTTTATCTCGGGGAGAGGGGCTGCAAGCAACCAAACTTGGTAGGATTCTTTTTGCCAAGGGTTCAGGTCTCCTTACTGGCATTCTGAATCTAAATTTAAATCTAAACTTGAATTTTGCACAGGCTCATTATCATTGGCTGTAATGGTTTCCAACATTACAATATAAAAATGCATTCATAATGTACATAGTAGCAATAACACTTAGGCTTATACACTGCTTCACAGTGATTTACAGCACTCTCTGAGTGGTTTTACAGAGTCAGCATATTGCCCCAACAATCTGGGTCCTCATTTTACCAACCTCAGAAGATGGAAGCCTGAGTCAACCTTGAGCCTGGTGAGATTCGAACTGCCAAATTGCAAGCAGCAGGCAGGCAGCAGAAGTAGCCTGCCGTACTGCATTCTAACCATGGCTCTTAATAATGGTTCTTAGTAACTTGAAGTATGTCAATATATTAAGATGTTTACTATTCTTATTTTGATTTGAAAAGTTGCCATTTAACCATTAACATCCTATTCAAGATTATTCATTTTCCAGAACATTGCTAAAAAGTCCACCCCATCTTCCTTTGTTGTTGTTGTTGTTATTTTATTTTTTCTAGGGCACAAATCCACCTTGTGTGTGGGGAGGGATGGAAACTGACCTGAGCAAGCTACGTCGCAAATGGCCTTTGATAAGGCATTGTTTTCTTTACACCATAAACCACTGTTGATATGGAAGATGCCATAGTCTTTGGTGCCACCTTTGTGCCGATCAATGGTGTTGGTGTCAAAGCCAGTTTCATAAAATGCCATGCAGATCCCTACAAAGAAGAGAAATCAGAGAGGTTCCTCACGAGTTCATTTTACAACCTTCCACTCATTCTGACTTTCTCAATATTCCAAAATGTAACCAAGAGGCAAGATCCAGCCTAGAGGCCTAGATATGAAACATATGTCTGCAGAGTGTTCAACTGTTTTCATCCCAATATTCTGCCAGTATTCTATGACTTGTGGTCCTCTATATTCATGGGACTTCAGTCTCCATTATCCCTACCTTGCATGGTGATGCCAAAGTGCTTTTGTGAAAAAAGCTTTTAAGAAAACCCTCCTTTCAATGTTGACTCTAAATTTGTTTTTAATCTTCCCACTAGACATTTTGAGACAAGCAGCTCTTCCCTCTTTTGAAAGACTGTAGGTGTGTGTTATTTAAAAAAAAAAAGAGCAGAGAGGAGTAATATCAGAGGGTTATATGGAAAGCAACATCAACAGACTCTCCATGAACAGGTAATTGGAACTAATCTCTTGCTAATGATCTATGGAAATGGCAAAATGGGCAACAAACTGGTTTACAAAAGGGGGAAAACATTTTTGGGGTTTGAAAGCCATTGCCTGACCCCATCCAAAGCAGAATTGCTGAGGACTGGTAGAAAGTCTGCCCAATTTTGCAGTGCTTACCATTTACTTAGAAACAATTCCCTTTCCTTTCAAACTGAAAGGAAATGTTATATTATGTTATAAGGAAAAATCATGTTATATCTTATCTAGAGTTCCAATCCCACTCCCTTTGATTTTTTTCAAACGTGAGTGCAGCTGTAGGTAAGGAAAGAGCTCAAATTAGTTGGAGGAGCCCCACTAAGGATAAGTTCTTTAGACATAAAGGACATTGGGAAGAGAGTTTAACAATTGTTCTGAGCCAGGTATTCTGCTGAGCTGTCACTTGTAGACACATTATAGAGCAAAACAGTGGATCGTTATAGATGCAAATGACAGTCAGTATGTATAAATGTTAAAGTCTTGGACTGGGATCAGTGGTGAGATTCAAAAATTTTTACTACCGGTTTCTGTGGGCGTGGCTTGGTGGGTGTGGTGTGGCTTGATGGGTGTGGCTTGGTGAGCATGGCAGGGGAAGGATACTGTAAAATCTTCATTCCCTCCCCAGTCCAGGGGAAGGTTACTGCAAAATCCACATTTCCTCCCCATCAGCTGGGACTCAGGAAGTAAAGAATAGATGGGGGCGGCGGGGGGGGCAGTCAGAGGTGGTATTTACTGATTCTCCAAAATAATTTCCGCTACCGGTTCTCCAGAACTGGTCAGAACCTGCTGAATACTCCCTCTGACTGGGACCAGGGAGCCCAAAGTTGAACCTCAACTCAAGTATGCAGCTCATTAGGTGACCTTGGGCCAGTTACTGCTCAGTCTCATCATCTCACACAGTTGTTGTTTGTGAAGACAACCTGAGGGCTACTCTCTCCTCTATGTGCACTATTTAAAGAACTCAGAAGAAAGATGAGATCTACTGGAAAGGTAACAAATTCTACCAATAATAATAACAACAGTAAAATTATTTAGGAAAGATCACACATTGTTTGTTTCTTGTCTTCCACAGCTGTCCCTGTCCTAATGTTTCCTCTATTTGTATCTATTTTATATATCCAATCCATGTTTATACTTATTACCTAATTTGTTCTTGACAAATAAATATATATTAGTCTTTAATTAAAAAATTAATTCTGGCATCAATGTTACTGAATGAGCTGGATGCCTACTCAATGGAATTTGTAAACAATACCCATTCATTTGAGGGCCTTTTGTACTAGTGAGCTTCTAAGGTTTTCTTGACAGAACAATTAATCAGTAGAACAACTTGCCTCCAGAAGTTGTGAATGCTCCAACATTGGACGTTTTTAAGAAGACAGTGGACAAAAATTTTCAGAAATGGTATAGGGTTTCCTGCCTGAGCAGAGGGTTGGACTAGAAGACCTCAAAGATCTTATTCTATTCTATTCTATTCTATTCTATTCTATTCTATTCTATTCTATTCTAGTCTAGTCTAGTCTAGTCTAGTCTAGTCTAGTCTAGTCTAGTCTAGTCTAGTCTAGCCTAGCCTAGCCTAGCCTAGCCTAGCGAGCGGTCAGATCTGGCTAAAACCAATTTGCAACTTCCTCATCTGGTTGATGAGCATAATCAGAAATGGGTACCTGTTAGCTTCAAGTACCGCTATTCAGATCCAGGAAAACAGAGGCATTAATCATGGGAACTTGTGGAGAGAGATCTAAGAAGAAACAAGCTGGAGCAAGTTCCAGAGCAAATAAAGCAGTACCTTCTTATGGAGAAAAAAACAGGCAATACTACTTAATAAAAACTAGTTGGGCATATTTAGGGTAGGCCATTAGTCCAATTTCAGTACTTGAGCAATATTTTATTCAGTGAGGAACTGCACTCACAACTGGCTAGGCTGTAACCTTCATATCCATCCATCCCATTCTTCTTCAACACATGAGCCAACTCACAGCGCCCATAGATCTTGGTCTGTATAGTAGCTACAAAGCAAGCTAGAAGAAAAGTCTGTAGGAAGAACGTCATCATCTTGGCCCTGGGATGTATGATGGGAGACAGCTGATCTTTAAATCAGAGCAAATTCTGCAGTCTTAGAAGATCATTCCTGGGGGGGGGCAGAAAAATGGATATACAGATTTATTGAAATATAACATTTCAAAAGCAACAAACAGAACTGAAAATATCTTTTCTATCCTCCAAAAATAGAATATTTTCTCTCTCTAGATTAGAATATGAAAATATTTTGCAACACAAGTATAAACCAAAGAATTGCAGAAGTTCCATGTTGATTGATGTTCAATAACAGATAACCTCATATAAATTATATAGAGAGATAAGCCTATATGTATTGCTGTAAAGTACAAGTGATCCTCGTTTAGCAACTGGTTCATTTAGCCCAAGAGAAGGACTTTTAGATTGGCTGGTCTTTTCTTGAGCTTGATAGCTACACTTTTAAGAGAAAGTGTGACAATGCCTTAAAGCAGAGGTGTTAAACTCAAAGCCCGCAAGCCAGATCCTCCCACAGGGTGCTTAGATCTGGCCCACAAGGCCACCCTGGAAACAGCGGACCAGCCCACAGTGCCTCTGCCAGTGAAAATGGAGCTCTGGAGCTCGTTTTCGCTGGCAGAGGGCTGCAGGAGGCCATCACAGTTGAAAACAGAGCTCTCCCTGGTCTCGCCTTCCTCCGCTGGAGACAATGGATTCCCCAGCTCCACCTGGGCCATCACAGGTGCCCCTGACACAAGTGATGATGAGCTGGCCACGCCCACTCTGGCCACCCCCACCCCCACCCCCGAGGTCAAACACAACCTTGATGCAGCCCTCAATAAAATTGAGTTTGACACCCTTGCCTTAAAGGCTATGGAAAAAAACATATAAAATGACTTTTTGGAGAATAATATTTTCCCCAATATTATTGGGGGGGGGGGGGTTAAGTAGTAAAAAATTTTTTAAAAAATTACAATTAAATTATACATTTTCTTACAAACATTTTAACATGCCATTTTAGGTCAGTCGACACAAGCTACAATACATTTTTAAAATGTGAACTGTACATAATTTTATAATATATTTTTATTTTAATCTTATCATTAATTTTTTCGGAGAATCGAGTTCAATGGATATTTGATCTTTGTCTCACTCTAACTTATGAAAAAAAAGACAAAATGTGATTCTCCTATCCTTATTCTCTTAGACTGTACAGTTTTAGATTACGTACCATTTCATCATAAAGCTTTTGAATAAAAAAAATGTCCACTATTTTGTTAAAAAAAATAGTGAACATAATGTGAAAAAAGCGGACTGTCCGCTCATATAGTGGACACCTGGCAACCCTAGGCCACAGCCACAAGAATACAAGGCAAGTGATCAGAAGACACAGCAAATTAAGAAAAAAAGGATGTAGGAAATTATTTAATATGTAATTATTTTTAAAGGTTGGAAGTCAAGTGAAATAATCTCCCGTTTCTATAGCCATTGACGCTGCTTTGCTGGAGAATTCCTTCATCCCAGCAACCTGTAAAATGCTCCAGGAGAGAAACAGAGCCCAGAATTTGTAGTATGATGTTCATGTTTGACGTAGGTTACCATCAGTGTGAAGTTGATCCCTAAAGCCACTGATATTAAGAGCATCTGTTATGAACTGTTAAGGAATATCAGGTGGATGTCTCCCCCCCCCTCCTTTATTATCCTCTTTCTTTTCAATGATGAGGCAGCAGAGGATACTGCAACTCAGGTACTTGAGGGCCTCATCCAGTCGCCCCCAACCAACCCACCGAGCTCACCATCTGTAAGAAGAGAAGACTTCTTAGGTCAATAGGGGCACTGAAACTGGAGGGAACACACAGCCACCCTTGCTTTGTCATAGAAACTGTAGCTGCCCTGGAATACCAGCCCTCTTCTGCTCTTCAGAACATGTGGGGAATTCTAGAACTGCAGCAATTGTCTGGGAGGACATTTAATCAGGCTTTGATATAAACCAGGCTGCTTGCTCTCTGCAGGCTGCAAAGGGAGCAGGTGAAATTCTGCAGGACGCAACTGGGGTGCTGCTAAATATTTTGCTAAACTGCTCCCTTAGGAATGCACGATGAGGAAAGAATAATAAAATCCCCCAACATGAGAGAACGGGTGGTGAAAATGTCAGAAATCACAGAAATGGCAACACTGACCTGATGGTCAGAGAAAAAAAAACCAAAACAAATATTTTTCTGAAAGACTGGAACCTATACATGGACATTTTGCTAAAAGAAGAAAGAAGCAAGAATTTCTAGATTTGAAGATGAAGAAAGACATGGATCAACCGAGGATATGACGGGACTTGTATAACATCTAAGAGGGAGGAGGGATAATAAGATTATACAGGTAGTCCTCGATTTATGACCACAATTGAGGCCAAATTTTTTGTTGCTAAGTGAGACATTCGTTAAGTGAATTTTGCTCCATTTTTACGACCTTTCCTGCCACCATTGTTAAGTGAGTCACTGCAGTTATTAAGTTAGTGACACGGTTGCTAAGTGAATCTGGCTTCCTCATTGACTTTGCTTGTCAGAAGATCACAAAAGAGGATCACACAACCCTGGGACACTGCAACAGTCATAAATATGAGTCAGTTGCAAGGAACCTGAATTTTGATCACATGACCATGGGGATGCTGCAACAGTCGTATGTGTGAAAAATGGTCATAACTCACTTTTTTCAGTGACGTGGTAACTTTGAACGGTCACTAATGAACTGTTGTAAGTTGAGGACTACCTGTAATCATCTCTTCTGCTTGCTGTGGTGCCTGATTGGTGGAAATTTCCCCATTATTTTACCCCTTCCACTCATGCCATTGACTTTCTGTAGATGGATCTTAGTGCACACCAGTGGTGGGTTCCTCCCGGTTCGATCCAGTTCAGCCGAGCTGGTAGCGGTGACGATATGATGTCACCGAACCGGTTCTCCCCCCCCCTGCCCTCCCACCCACGTTATTCTTACCTTTTATTTGGTCCCACCCCCAATCTATTGCTGCCTCCTGAGTCCCAGCTGATGACTAGAGGGAAAAAACTGTTTAAACTCTTGCCTCGGGGCTTCAAAGGGCCGTCCTACAGCTGATCAGAGTTAAAAGCAAACAAATTAGTCGGGTCGTAAGTGCGAGGACCTTCCGGAAATGACTGACCAGCTAGCCACGCCCACCTAGTCACATGACCTCCAAGCCACACCCGCAAAATAAGCCACGCCCACAGAACTGGTAGTAAAAAAAATTAGAACCCACCCCTGGTGCACACATTGTTTTCACTGAGTATTGCATGTCTTCAGTGACAATGCCATCTTCTTGTTCCGCCTTCTTTTCAGTTTCTGATGTTGCTTCGCTGATAAATGGGGGAGAAATTGGTACCGTAGGAGAGAAATGAATCCACCTACCACTTTCTCGGTACCACTTTACTGCAGAGCCAATCCTCATAAACTGAGACAGCAAAGGACATTCTCAACGTCTGGCACTTTTGTCAAATATTGTGTCAGTTCATTGGTTTGGGGGGGATCGGGGTTGGGGTGGGGGACAAAGAAGCTGAACATAGTTAAAAGCTGGCATGGCAGCAGTAGCTACGTAATGGCAACAAAGGGGAGGAAATACTCTAAAGAAGGTGAAAAGCTAAAAAAAATTAATTTCTACCTTTTGTAAGCAAGCTCCCTAAATATTTTCTTAAAGCAGGCAAGGAATTATGACAGGTTTTCAAAGGCTGCAACCCTTGGAAGACAAAGGCTGGAAAATCTTCCAAATACAGACAGCCTCAGTTTTTGGATGAGTCACTGCCCCTTCCATTGATCATAGGATGCCATAATACCGTTACAGTGAAGAGAGGGAGATATGGAATTATAAACAATTGTGATAGATTTTTGCATTAGTAGTTATTATAGATGTGTTGTTTCAAGGAAGGAAACGCTGCTACACAAATGGCAGGCTATTATTGGTGTTTCCAAGGGTTATCTGTGTTCTCGCGGAAGAAAATTCGTAACTTAGGCTGCCTCCCATCTCCCAGCATCCCAACTGCAGATACCATGCAGAATTGTAAGCATTTCAGAGGTTAAAGGGTGGAATTGGGTGGGAAGTGTCACCATGATGTGCTGAGAAACATAAGGAAATGCTAATACAGTAACATATACTTTTTAATATATACTATTTCCGCTCAAATTCTGGTCAGAAAAGGCAAGCTTTCTTTGCTTAATAGTCCTTTTTTAACTATAAATTCACAAAGATATAAATATGCTTCTTGCTTTGTTCTGTCTAACCTGAGCTTTCTTATTGCTATCACAAGCTGGGCTGAAGCTTATCTTTCTCTTTTGAGTTGAAGCATAATCTAGGTGTGGTTTCTTAGCTCTCAGCACCATCTTGTGGTCTACCTAGAACATTGCATGTATTTTCATGAATTGCTTTTAAAATACAATTGGTTGGTAGGGTACTGTATGGGTATATCCTACACATACACAATCTTTTTTGAAATAAAATTTGATCTTTTTTGAAATAAAATTTGATTTTGTCGATCTCTTATGAGATTAATCTACCTCTCAAATGGTAGGGAGAGAGTGTGAAACCCTAGCTCTATGCATCTATGCTACAAGGTAAGGAGGTTGCATCATATGAATTCTTTCTCTCTTTCTCCATTTTAACCTTTTTATTGCTATGAAAGGCAGCATAGGTAGTGAGAACCTTATGTCTCTCACATATTGGGATTAGGGGAAGGGGACCAGATGAGGTGCCACTGGAAGACAGGTAGTGGCAGCAACGCTGTCACTAATCTAGAGTTGGGGTACAGATCTTGATGTTCCAGAAAGTTTCGGAGAGACAAAGTTGAAAAGTCTGGCATCCTAAATTTTGATCCAACACTTCACCATCATCGCCGTTATCAACACCCCCACCTTTTGCCACAGCCATCCTTGATCAAACAAACACATGAAACTTATTATCTCAAAAAGAATTTATTCTGTCAAATGCCTTTGATCAGATTGTACTCTGTGATCACAATCTGAAGAGCACAAGCAGATGAAGAAACTGATTTGCAGATGGTAAATTCAGTTGGTGGTACAATAAATTCACAGTTTACAAGTAGCTGTCCAGTAATGCAAGTTTTTTCCACGGCAATGATTTCGCCAGCCATCCCTAGAGGACAAAATTAAGAAAAGGGAAAAGAAAATACAGCTATGTGGAAATTAAAAACAAAAGGCAGTGAAATGACAATGGAAGTAGATAACTGTTAAGTAGCCCATGGTCTTTCTTCCATACTGTATAAACTTAGAGTGCTCCCTACCCATCTCTGAGTCAACAGAGAATATTCCACCATGAAATATGTTGTCCCCATTATGAATCCCTCTTCTGGTTGTGTCTGAAATCACTGCCTGCCCCCTGACTTTCCTTTGAAAGAAATACTATACCTCTCTCTCCCTCTCCCCCGCCCCCCTCTGTCTGGGAACAAGATGAAAGCATTATGATGAGGACTCTTCAGAAAAAGATGTTGCAGGGGCATGTCTGAGCCAGAATTGGGTGTAAATGGGGAAAAGCTCAAATTGTATTCGATGTGTGACTGGATGGCTGTGTGAAGGAGGTAGGCAAAGCCGATGAAAGATAAATTTAACTCCTTACCAGGCTTCCAAACCATCTGGACCTGCTACAGCTCTCTTGACACAAATTATATCATCGATGATTTCATCACCCACCAAATCTAGTGAGTAAACAGGAATTAATTGGGGCATGGAATAGAATGGGACGTATTTGAATAAAACAGCCAACGGACTTAACAACTCTTCACACTGAGCTAGTCAACCTTTGTTTTTTAGGAGATTAGAATCCAAACCTTCTCCAGTAAGGGAGATGCTCTTAAATTGGAGATGCCCTGGATTGATGGTGGGACTTTTAGCATGGCAATAAAAAATTTAAATGCACGCCTGCTTTAATTGGATGACAATTACAGTAGAAATGCCGCATTCATCAGGACAAGTAAAATATCCTGTTCTTTAAAATACCTTCTTAAGGATTTAAGAAACAATAAACCTTGAAGCTCAACCAGTGGTGAAATCCAATTTTTTTTTATTATCGGTTCTGTGGGCATGGCTTGGTGGGCATGGTGTGGCTTGGTGGGCATGGCACGGGAAGGATACTGCAAAATCTCCATTCCCACCCCTCTCCAGGGGAAGGATACTGCAAAATCTCCATTCCCACCCCACTCTGAGGTCAGCCAGAGGTGGTATTTGCCGGTTCTCCAAACTGCTCAAAATTTCTGCCACCGGTTCTCCAGAACCTGTCAGAACCTGCTGGATTTCACCCCTGAGCTCAAACATATATATTTAGATGGCTAAGGAACATTAAGACTGGGATAAAAACCTGTTTCAGACTTGCAAGTTTCTCTTACAGTGGTGATGTTAGTATTCATGACTGATACTTCCTCTCTGGACTATCTCAAAAAGCTGACATCAGTCTTGCAAATCTCTTTTGTTTAAACAAAAAACATAAAGTTTCTTCCCACCTCACTCTCTCTGCCTGCTGGTGGGGAGTGGCCATGATTGGCAACATTAATGGGTAACCTGTGGGGTAGGCCAAATGGTATAACCTTCTCCACAAAAGTATTAAAAACGAAGAATCTGGCTATATTAACCCCTTGCAGTAGGAGACCTGAGATGGATTCATAAATGACAGAATCAATAGCACCCAGCTGGCAAAACATGAATCTCTTTCCCAGTTTAAATGGACTTTTCAGTAGCACAGGACTACAGCCCTAGCACTATTTTTAAAAGTATTATTTTTAAAATACAGATTTAGCACTAAAAAAAACCCCTAGGACTCTAAAAAGTGCAGTAACTCCATGAATATGGGATGTTCGATGTGTATATATAAGGAATCTAAGTAATTGCATGTCTGTCATTGATTTGTTAGTCCTGTTTTATAGGGTCACTACTTCAACCTAGGAATGGGGAAAAAAATGGTTGATTTTCCATTTGAAGGCATATTTTTCCAGTTTTATGACTTCCAACTACTTATATAATTTAAATGTTCACTTGCATACTTCTAAACTTTATAATGGAGGTCATTAATATATGGGGGTGGGTGTTTTACATTGATAAATGTACAAAATACGTAGGCTGAAAGTAATGTACACGGGAAATAACATGCAACATTTGTGAAAAGTAAATATGTTTAATGAATAGCTGTGGAATGCCTTGGTGCTCTCTGAGCTTGGTTGTTTGCTTATAGACATTCCATTATCTAACTAGATAATATCATCCATGTTAGTGAATGTGGAGTTTGTTCTCTGTTTATTCACAGTAGCCTACCCTGTCAGTGTTGCTGGCTACTAGGGAGAATGTGTTCTGGTCTTTTTGTTTCTCTCCTAGCCTTTTTAATTGGAGCCGTGGTGAGCTACTGGTTAGAATGCAGTATTAGCAGGCTAATTCTGCCCACTGCCAGGAGTTCGATCCTCACCGGCTCAAGGGTGACTCAGCCTTCCAGCCTTCCGAGGTCACTAAAATGAGGACCCAGATTGTTAGGAGACAATATGTTGACATTGTAAACCATTCAGAGAGTGCTGTAAAGCAGCAGTCGCCAACCTTTGCAGCTTTGTGGATCAGGAGGAGTGGGGGGGGGGGGGCAAAGGAATGGTTTCATGCGTGTACCCACCACAAACACAAATGGAGCTTCTGTGGCCCATTTCCCAACTGGCTGAAATCTGGTACTCTGTTTTCCCCAAAATAAGACATCCCCTGATAATAAGCCCAATCGGGTTTTTGAGGGCATGGCAATAAGGCCAAGCATTTATTTCAGGGTTCAAAAAAATATAAGACAGGGTCTTATTTTCGGGGAAACATGATAGCTGCAAGAGCACTCACTCAACTCTGAAATCTGTAAAGGTGTCGCTTGTGGAGTGTGAAGTCTGGCATTTAGAGACAGCAACTGATTTCTTTGCCATCCTGTTCCTCCATTACAAAGAAAATATAAAAAGTACCCTAAGCCAGGGGTCTCCAACTTTGGCAACTTTAAGCCTGGAGGACTTCAACTCCCAGAATTCCCCAGCCAGCTTTGCAAAGCTGGCTGGGGAATTCTGGGAGTTGAAGTCCTCCAGGCTTAAAGTTGCCAAGGTTGGAGACCTCTGTTCTAAGCCTTTCTATTACAGAACTCACTGCTAAAGCTTAGCGACACAGGATAGGCATTTCAGACACAAGACAGTTGAAATGGTCAAGCTATGCCTACAGCTAGTCCTCAACTTACAACAATTCATTTAATGAACGCTCAAAGCTACAAGGGCACTGAAAAAAATGACTCATGACCATTTTTCCACACTTACGACTGTTGTAGCATCCCCATGGCCATATGATCAAAATTCAGATGCTGGGCAACGGATTCATATTTATGACGGTTGCAGTGTCCCGCGGTCACCTGAACCCCTTTTGTGACTTTCTCACAAGCAAAGTCAATGGGGAAACCAGATACACTTAATAACAGTTTGACTAATTTAACAACTGCAGTGATTCACTTAATAACTGTGGCAAAGCAGGTCGTAAAATGGGGCAAACTCACTTAACAAATGTTTCACTTAGCAACAAAAACTTTGGGCTCAATTGTGGTCGTAAGTCGAGGACTACCTGTATTGCTCTCTTCTTGGCTAATTGGAACCGGACTAGCGATATCATGTTATCTTGCCAATACCCTTTTGGTGCAAGCAGGCCTTGTGGGATGACAGTTCTTGGAGAACTTGTATGGACATTTTGTTCTAATTCTACCAGATCTAGTTGCAAAAAATCCACATGACTTTACTATAGTAGAAAAGATTTTTGCTATTCAGGTCTACTCTGTCCGCCATGTTTCTCCACTCAATTAATAGGACAGAATTGAGTGCTGTCAGAATCACTGGCAAGAAGATTTGACTCGGTTAATAGCTGACTGGGGGATATATGTGTTTTGGGAACAGAACCATTGTGCAAATACAGTCTAAGTCATGGACAAGTATATAAGTCTAAGTGCTGTTGCTATTGTCTTTTTTGAATGGTGAATAAATGTGATTTATCTCTATGCGTCTATTGATGGCTGATTTATCTGAGTGCCAAGCTTTCAGGACATTGCTATCATTTTTAGATTTGGCCTGGTGTAGGATGCTCATAGTTTCCCAGTTGAAACTATGGTTGAATCTGTTCCATGTGTTGTGAAATTAATCATGTCTCCTGCCTGCTAGTTGGTGTTCATGGATGCTCTCTGCTAGTCTTCTGCCTGTTTGTCATACAGCATATAGTGGCTGTTCCAGTCCTTACACTGTATGTTGTAGATGCTTTTTCTTCTCAGGCTACTGGGTCTTTTGTCAGGTACAGTAATTAAACATCTGCAAGAAAACAACCAAGCTCAGAGAGCACCAAGGACCCCACAGTTCAGTCTTGAGCTACCTATATTCTCTTTAATAAAAAGCTTTGAATGATTAACAAAAATGAGAAATTAAAAGAAATCCAGACCCAGCTCCAATGTTCTCTCTTTATAAACTGGACTTTAACACAAATATTTTAGAAGGAACACTTACCACGACAAGATAAGCTGCAGAGGTTCCTTGAAGTGCTGTGGTGGTCAGCACACCAGGAGCGACTGTTGATCTGGAAAAGGCCATATTCTGAAGTACCATCAATATTATGGGTCACCTTAGCTGTGTTGAAACCACTTGCATAATATGCCAAGCAGACCCCTGAAGGGAGAAAATGATGTACAGATTGACATCCGTGTGAAAGTTTTGTTCAGAAAAGAAGCAGATAAGAAATAAGATCATGCCAAGAAATAAAACCGGCAGATTATTTGCAGGCAGATTATTAGCATTACATGATGAATCCAGTTTGCCTAAGGCTTGAATGGCAACGGCACACAGGGTAGCTGGTGGCATATAGGTGTTGTGGCCCGTCATGGCCTGTGCAGCTAGTAGCTGATTCCGACAGCGAGGAGGCTGGTGTGGTGCTGCGCCAGCAGCCTGTGCAGCTGGCACTCGAGTCAGACAACGAGGAGGCTGGTGAAGATGTGGTGCCAGAGGCAGGGATTCAGCCAGGGCCTTCAGAACCTCCAGAAGCTCCTATAAGTGAAGAGGACGAAGAGGAGGAGCCTCTTCTTGATGCACGGGCGCGCAGAGCTGCCAAAAGGCAGGAGTGGCTCCTCAGGAGGAGGTCTCCTTGAGAGTAAGACTTGAGGCTAATTGGCCACTCCCTTAGCCTATTTAAGGAGGAACGCCGACTGAAGCAATATGCAGGGAACAACTTCGTTCACATACCTTCGTGTCTTGTCTTGCTTATCTTATCAGCTTCCTGCAAATTGCTTCTGGGCATTCTGCCAACCACAGTAAGCTTGCAATATTATTCTTTGAATTTTTGACGGCTGTTAATGCAGTTAATTAACAGCCAATGTTGTAAAAAACTGGTTTGTTTAATAAACTAAGGTTTGAACGGACTTTGTGTGTGCTGCGTTCTTTGGGGTCCGTAGTTGGGGCAGAATCATATGTGAAGATATGTGCTTGCTTGTATGCTTGTAGTAAAATACAGAAACTAGTCCTGGAAGATCAATTTGGAAAGGAACTTTAGTGGGATACAGGTCGTCCTTGACTTACAACAGTTCATTTAGTGACCTTTCAAAGTTACAACAGCACTGAAAAAAGTGACTTATGAGCGTTTTTCACAAGACTGTTGCCGCATCCCCACGATCACATGATCAAAATTCAGATGCTTGGCAAATGATTCATATTTATGATGGTTGCAGTATCCTGGGGGTCATGGGATTACCTTTTGCGACCTTCTGACAAGCAAAGTCAATGGGGAAGCCAGATTCAGTTAACAACCATGTTACTAACTTAACCACTGCAGTGATTCACTTAACAACTGTGGCAAAGAAGGTCATAAGAATGGGGCAAAACTCACTTCACAAATGTCTCACTTAGCAACAGAAATTTGGGGCTCTCTTGTGGTCGTAAATTGAGGACTACTTATATATTCATTTTCTCAAATTAAATGCAAAATAATCTCATGCACAGAAAAGAATTTGGTATTCTATATCATTATTCATTTTACAAGGGATTTTTTTTAGTAAATACAAGTAGAATACAAAAGCTTAACATGGAATATAGATTAAACAAATGCTCTCCAAAGAGGAAAAGAACATTATTTGAAAAAGTTAAAACAAGTTATAATTTGCCTACAAGAGACACATATTAGGAAAAAAGAAATAAAATATTTGATTTATAAATATTTGGGTGAAGAATTTATCTCAGCAACAGCAAAAAAGAAAAAAGAAAGAAATGGAGTTGTTTTGTGTATAAAGGCCCAATTAAAATAAAAAATTGTATTGACTGTTGGCCAGAGAGGATTTGTTAGGTTGGAAGCTAATTTGCATGAGACTAAGACTTTGATATGGTATTGGGAATCTATGTTCTAAATGAGAATAAATTACTGTTCTGTAAAGAACCTATGAAGAGACAAATAGGTTTCTCTTATGATGGTGATTGATGTGGGATTGGAATAGACAGATTTTCTTCGCGATCCTGTTGCAAACTGGTAGTAAAGGTAAGTAGAACCCATCCCTGATTTGGTGCAGTGGTTAGAATGCAATACTGCAGGCTAACTGAGAATTGCCAGGAGTTCAATCCTGACTGGCTCAAGGTTGACTCAGCCTTCCATCCTTCCAAGGTCGGTAAAATGAGGACCCAGATTGTTGGGGGCAATATGCTGACTCGGTAAACTGCTCAGAGAGGGCTGTAAAGCACTGTGAAGCGGTATATAAGTCTAAGTGCTATTATTATTTCTAATCCACATATCCATGTAATCCAGGCCAACAAAGAGACTGGATGCATCACATTGCTACAGATGTTATTAGCATTCTTCAATCTGTTGCATCTAAGTTAAAGCCTGTCCTAGGTCTGAGGATCCTTTACCAACTTCAGCATAATATAATATATCCAACTCTGTCACTAGTGTTAGACAGGTCATGTTCCTTTTCCTTTTGGGTAAAGGAGTTGGACAAGATGGCCATCTTAACCCTATAGTTCCATTAGTGGCTATTACAAGTATGGAAATATATAGAAAAGTTTATACCGATATATGCTATATCTATAAAAATAAACATCTGATTATAAATTATGCAAAAACAAAAAATAAAGTTTTCCAATAGCAGCCGAATGCACAAATGAACAATTAATAAATATATAAACAAAGAGGTAAATCAGTATAAGTATATAGAGGTTATTTTTCAAACAATATGGGATTTTATTATTTATTTATGTGTTAAATTTATTTGCTGCCTATCTCGCTGTGGGGCTACTCTAATTAAAGGCTCAAATTAATTTTGCTGCCTCAAAGGCAAACAACAGGGCCGCAGCCAGTCTAAATTTTTACAGAACACAAGGAGGGAAATTTGCTCTGGCAACAATTAAATTATTTCAAGCCAAACCAATAGCATAAATGATGCACGGAATACAATTGGATCTACCTTGACATCTTACATGAATGGTTCCAATCAGCTTTCCTTAGGGACCTAATAAGTGTTATCAGATGCAAAGCTATTGTAATCTTGAGGCTAGAAAGAGGCTTATCAACTGTTCAGGGCTAGTCCAGAACACTAACAATTTGGTTCATAGTTACGTCAATTCCCAGTAGATTATTTCCACTGTTATTAAAATATAAAGACAACTGGCAATTAGTTTGCGGGGGGTGGGGTGGGGAGAAGCATATTACCTATAGTTTCTCACCTTAATGTCTAAGCCAATTGGGTTATAAGAATTCCATGTGAATATTTTAAGAAGGGATCATTGATACGTAGCATCATAAAGTGATAACCTAAGCCCCACTTTTACTTCTGATTAGCAAAAGGTACCAAAGGTGCCCCAACCAATTACTTACAACATTCTATTCTTTATAAAAAAAAAATTAAAATTTATTGTTAAACTTCTATCACCCAGCCTTCTCTGTGGGGGCACCTGCTATCTGGAATGAGCTCCCCCCGGAGATACGAAGGATCCCAGATTTACGCCGTGCCCTCAAGACCTTTTTATTCCAACAGGCTGGCCTGGCCTAACCTCCCTTTTTAATTGTAAATTTTAAATTTGTCTAAAACTATAGGGGTGTTTTAATCTGTTCCGGGCCAAATTTATTTAATTAGGTTTTTATACTGTTTTTAAATTTTGTAATATGTGTGTTTTATCTCTTGGCTGTTCACCGCCCTGAGTCCTTCGGGAGTAGGGTGGTATATAAATCTAATAAAATAAAAAAAATAAAAATAAAAATCCCACCGAGGCAGCTCTATATAAATGAGCCTTGCAGTAGCTGACTCCTGCACAGTGTGGGCACGTGAAAAAGTTCCAGAATCAAACACAGCACTTGAAAAGAGCTGGAAGAATGCAGGATTCAGAGCCATTTATATTCTTGCCTCAGGCTTTCTACAGTCTGTTCTAAAACGAGTACTATGAGCAGGTTCAGCAAAACCAGTATGTTCTTTTTTGTCACCCTTTCAGATAGAAAGCTGTGATCGGGATTTTAAAAAAGAACAGTCAGGACACTCCATGGAGGCTACTCACAGTCATCCAAAGTGTAGCCCTCGTGCCCCTCCATTCCCCAGCGTCGCATTACTGATGCCAGTTCACAACGTCTGAAGATCTTGCCATAGACTTTCACCATGAGGCAGGTCAACAAAGCTAACCACAGGCAGAGGCCTTTCATCGCTCCTCAATGATGTGCTTCTGCTAACTCCGGTACCCTGAAAATGGGAGGGGGACTTTCCCAGGCTGACAGTTCTACAAGAGAAGAGAAACATCTAGAGACAAACTGTTGATGAGAAGGTTGCATTTTGTTATGGAGAGTTGCTTTTGTACAACGGGAAGCAAGAGCACAGTGCAAAGGCACACACAATGGAAGTGCAAATGGCATAACCCAAGGGTCTGCAACCTTAAACACTCAAAGAACCATTTGGACCTGTTTCCCACAGAAAAGAAAACACTGGGAGCCACAAAACCCTTCTCGTGCCTGACTATTTCTTGAGCGGCCACAAAACTAGCATATGTAGTTGAATTAAACGTTGTTTTCTTCTGAAACTTTTCTTTTCTTGGATTTATCAATGGTTGGCCTACCGGGGGTTAAAAAGCTCAATAAATTGCATGCCGGTGGGTGTCGCACATTGGCGGTTGTGACACATATTTTGAGTGACAGGGAGTCGCAGCAGAGGGGTGAAAGACCCACATGCAGCTCCAGAGCCGCAGGTTGCTGACCCCTGGCATAGTCAAATGTTCTTGACTTGTGGATTGTGGAAAGAGTGGTCAGCTCATGAAACACTTGAAAGTATTTATTTAAGAGACACATATATAGGGAAGAGGCTCAAGTCTTGCTTGGTTTCTGTACCAAAAATGCATTGACCTATTAACAGCACTCAACCTAGTGCTGGAATAGTTTCTAGGTTGATTTACTCAGAATGTCACTTATACCCTCATGACCTCCCATCTGGACTACTACAATACACTCTACATAGGGCAGCCTTTGAAAAACATTTGGAAACTTTAATTGGTGCAGAATGCAGCTGCATGAATAGTAAATTATGTCAGTTACTTGACATACGTAACATCACCACTATGTGCACAGCCCCGTTGCGAACTGGTAGTAAAGGTAAGTAGAACCCACTCCTGTATGTGGGTGGGTGTGAGTGTGTGTGCAGTGGTGGGATTCAAATAATTTAACAACCGGTTCTCTGCCCTAATGACTGGCTGGATGGGTGTGGCCATGGTGGGCATGGCCAGGGGGCATGACAAGCAGCACTCGGCCTCCTGCAGCCTCCTGGGAGCAAAAACAGGCCACGGGGGGGGGGGGCACCGCACCACCATCCTGCGCCCCATTTTGGGCCTAGTAGGCCTCCCTGCACTTACCTGGGAGCCAAAATGGGGTGCGTGGGGACTCCTGGAAGAGGCGGGATGGGACCAGTAATTTAACTATCTTTGCAGCTTTGGTTTGGTTTGCCCAAACTGGCTGAATCCCACCACTGTGTGGGTATAAAACATGAAGGGATTTGGAGGCTAAATCCTACAAATAGTAGTTTAAGAAGTTGGTATGTTTAACTTATAGAAGAGAAGATTGAGGGGAGACATGACCAGTCTTCTGATACATGAAAGGATGTCCCAGGAAAGAGAGAGTAGATTTATTCTCCCTAGCACCTGATAATAAAACAAGAACCAATGGGTGAAAGCTTTATGGTGAGAGATTCAAATATAACCTAAGGATGAATTTGTGACGTAAAGCTCCATTGTGCATAGGGCTCCAATGAATTCATGGATCTGTTGAGCGTGACCTAATCAGCAGCGTTCTTAGTTAGAGTCATCAAACAAAGGATTTCAGGGAGCAACTCTCAGTACAAGGCTAAAAGAAACAGACTCATGCACTTCAGGATCTGACTAGGAGACCTTTCAGATTCAAATGCTGGCCTACCCTAGCCCATTTCAGATATATCTTAAATGTTCATAAGATTTATACATTGGTTTACTTGGGTATGATGAATATCATTCTATGTTATGGTCTACTGATCATGCTCCCGATGGGTGTTCCAGTCAGTTCCATAGAGAAATAAGGTAGAAACAGTACTACATGATAACACTAAGGAAGAAACTCAGGAGAAATAAACTGCTCTCTGCTTATGATGTGGAAAATACAATTATATACAGATATCATACGTCCCATCAGCACTCGATGATCAACATGTACAGAGATCATAGGTACAAATAAATAAACAATACTCTCAGTTCAGTTTGGGGTGTATGGCTGTATAATCACTCGCTGTACAGTCTCTGTGAATGGGCATTCAGAAGTATGCCTACCTATGCTCTTCCAGGTGTTGTTGGGCTCCATCTGCCCTCAGCTCCAACAAATGGTGAGGGATACTGTGTTTCCAAACTTAATTGACTATACAGGTACTTCTCACACTTAAAAAGGTAGAAAGAGCTGCTCAACAGAAGTGATTTAAGCAGATCCTACAGCAGGCAATTTATATTTTAAGCTAGTCCTCTGGCTTCTGATGCAGGGCAACAACCCAATAATTTTCACCGTCTCAGGAGGACAAAGAATTGAGGAAGGCTTATCTCTTACCTCAGCCCCAGAGTTCAAAATGATTAACCGTAAGTAAATAGCTTGCCTCATGCAGGTCAAGTCCAAGCAAATATCAAGTTAGCATAGCAGCCAGGTAAAATGAAAGAAAGAAGCATTCAGGGTATTATCCTTTGTGGGTGCCAAGTCAAAAGCTCTAGAAGATTCTGAGTGACAACTGACAAAGTGAGGCTTCAACTTTCGAGCTCGAATTTCTCCTGACCACAACAAAGTTCTTAATTGGCCCAGCAAGACACACTTGCCAATGTACCCCATGAAGAGATGGCAGTTCACCTGACTTCTAGAACCTCAACTCTTGAGGTCATCCTTTGATGTCATAGCCTCTATCTGCTCTCAGCCTCAAGCCCAACCTCTTGGAATGGGAAATGGTATTCTCATCTGTCATATTCATGCAATGGCAGTCGTTCCTAATTTTATCTCTCCTCTAAAAATCCATCTTCTTTGATGAATGAAGCCAGCCCTGAATTATTTGACTGGCTGGTTGGTTGATTGATTAATTGATTGGCTGATTGATTGGTTGGTTGGTTGGTTGATTTAGAAGATGCTCAGTTCTAAAATGTCTACAGATGGTTCACACTTAAAACAGGAAAACAATAAAAAACCTCAGAATCTAGACAGACTACCCAACAGCCAGCCAAATAGGGCTCCACAAGCACCCTACCTCAAGGCTTAGGAGCATCTGGGTTTTCAACAACTTGCAGAACATCATCAAAATGGAATGATATGCATTTCTGGGGGAACCTTACCATATAGACAGAAATCATCAGAGATGGGTAGTCCCTCAAGTAACCTGGCCAATGCCATGAAGAGCTTATAACTTATACAAGCTTATACTCTGAAATCTATCAAAACCCTACTAGCAATAGTCAGGGCTATGGAAAACTGATACCACATGGGCATATTGAAGCATGACCAACACTGCCTGTATTATGGGCTATTTGCAGCTTTTGAATGGCCTTCAACAGCAACCCCATGTGTAATGCACTGCAGTAGTCAAACCATGAAGTAACTAGGGTATGAATGACCATCTGAAGGGCCTCCCAATCCAGGAATGGTTGCAACTACCACATTAACTAAAGCTTTGTAAAGGATCTCTTCATCACAGCTTTCACCCATTCTTTAAGCAAGAGTTGTGAATCCAAGATGCCCCCCCCCAAGACTGAGCACCAGTATTAACCCCATCTAAGACAGTAAATCCCCAAGTTCAAGGGACCCAAAATCCACAATCACTCCATCTTGGCAGGATTGAGCTTGAGTCTGCTCCTCCCCATCCAGATTCACCCAGACTTCAGACACTGAGATTGGACACTGATAGCATCAGTTGGCCAGCTCAGATTCAAAATATACAATGGGGCATCCTCCACCTATTGATGATACCAGACCCCAAACTGATGGATGACCTCATTCATATGATGCAGATGATAAAAAGGAGAGAAGAGACTACCAAGTTCCGAGACACCCTGCAAATGACTCTGTAATACAAGATGCTAGATTGCAACTGCACCTTCTATTCAAATTTCAGCACATGATCTCATGTTTAGCAGAAAGGACAGAAAAGGATTGGCACATTCAGTTATATGTGCATATTTTTCACTTTCAAACAAACACAACCAGCAGATGTGCAGAGGTCATGAGTGTAGCCTTCTATGTTTACCATCTACATGTAAATTAGAATCTATTTTCTGGCTTCTGGAAGGCCACTGAACATAATGAGATACGGACACAGCTGTGATAGTTTCCCCCATCCACCCCATAGCCCATCTTTCCCCTTCGCAACTCACCACATTCCAACAATTGTAGGAGTAAAGGCGTACAACAGAATTGAAACAGCTTCTAGCCTCTTCTATTTATGTTGACCCTATGAATGAAATCTTGCCTTTTTGAAGAACTGGGAGCTCTTTCACACTCCTGTTCTATGTTACTGGAATATCCTGGGCAGCCAAAGAACAGATATAAGCAAAACCAATCTGGCTGAGTAAGACATAAAAACCACTGCTGGAACTCATTCCATAGCCAGAAAGCATTACCCACAAATCTGAACTAATTGAGAATTCCACATTCGCACATCTATACATCCACCCTCCACATTCACACAGCTGCTAGACCTGTTTGCTTCCATCTTGCCCTTTTGTGCCTGGATTTGTTCTTAAGCTGCGCAATTGTTAATATTAAAGCCCTGAAGAATAACAAGGGCTGGACCGCTGGGGACATACCGCCTCTATGTGGGATATCCAGAATCTGAATGTGGTGAGTGTTGAGGCCATGAATTAAACTCAAACGGCAGAAGTAGGAGGTGGTGATGTAGGCAGGGTCTTCTTTTGAGGCTGGGTAGTTCTGCTATTTCAAGGGATTTGCCCTGACAATAGACAGCCATGATTGCTGGAACCTTATCTCAGTCCTGGGCTGCCACCCACAGAGGGGCCTCCAATGCACTGTTAGGCAGGGAAACTGTTCCCGAAGTGATTGGCATGCCTCAGTGCTCCCAGATCAATCAGAGAATGTTGTAGAAATGGTAAGAAAACACACTCACACCAGCCTAGCCTTAACAGAGGGTTGCAATAAACTCTTAACAAAGACCTGGCCTCCAGAAGGAATTATTGGGAATTTTAGCTGAGCAAGATTCATCTAAAGCACCTGTGCACTTCTGTTGTCTGTGTAAAGGACAGCTATCTTTGGATGCTTTCATAGGTACACAAACCAACCTGCCAAGCTGCAGCCATGCCCAGATTTCAAATACTTCATGCTTCTTAGTCTTGCTTTATTCCTTCCCTTTGTTGAACATCTCCACCACTGAATGATGCCCTCCAGGCCAAGAAACAGGAGGCATCTAGTAAAGCTGCAAGATGCCCTGACACACCCCCACCCAGTCAGGTGAAAAAAGTGACGTCAGCCTTCACTTATAAGTTTGGGAATGGGGAGCACTGAAGATCTTAAAGGAAATGGAGGATGGACAAGCAGGCAAGAGGAAGAGTGTGGGGTTCACTGCAGCATATCCTGAGAGAGCTGGTGAGTTGAAGAACTTTGGTCTACAGGCAACAGGGATATTCAAAGGGCACCTAGATGCAAAGCAGATTGAGTAGAAGAGGGTGGGTTGAAGAAAAGGTCAACTAACAAGTTAGAGAAAGGTTGCTGTGTGAAAAAGGTTTCAGGGTTGTACTTATTGGGAGCCAGCACATTGCTGATCCATTCCCAAATGAGAGATCATGGGAGTTAGTAGTTAGGATTCATGAACATGTTCAGGATAGATTGAGAAATGCTTTTTTTCCCTAACCACTGGGGTTGAAATTGTTTTCAATTCTGTGCTTTGGTTCTTTATGAAATTAACCATGCTTGCTGTGCTCTTTTTTTTAATTTACTTCTTCCCTTCCCTTCCCTTCCCTTCCCTTCCCTTCTTTCTTTCACTCCTTCCCTCCCTTCCCATTTAATCTCCCCAAGATATGGCACAGCAAAAATATGCCAGGAAATTACATTACTTAAATTTTAAGCAGGCCAATTTGGCTATCTGGTCCACTCTTTCCTCAGAGCAGAACTCCAAATTAAAGCATTCCTATATTTCTTCTAATGCAAAAATTGACTTGGACAGAATAACACAATAAAAAGGCATATCCAGGCACTACCTGAAGTTTTGATTGCTTCTGTCCTCTGAGTCCAACTCTACAAATCTTGCAGCCTGATTCACTGCACAAGACCCCCAGATATAGTGTCTCTTGCATTTGCCTCCAGTCTTTCTCTTTGCACTGCAATGGTGGGGGCAGGAGGGGGGGGAACCCACACTCTATAGGGCTGCGTACCACTGTGTGACCTCTTAGTTGCTAGAAAAGGGTTTTCTCAGACTTTTGGAGGAGCAGGGTTGGTTAATCTGGGATTCCTGTATTCAAGACAGAACCGTGGCCCTGCTTGGTGTGGTTTGACTGGCAGTTCTGTTAAACTGGGCAACTTTCTTACATCCTCAATAAAAACATGGCCCCGGGTGGAGGGAAGGAGGACTTTTTTTTCCCATCACAGAAGGCCTCCTCAACCAGAAGATAGTAGGGGGAGATTGAAAGTGCTTAGAAGATTTATAATCCTCAGAACAGGTCCTCCCCAAACTGAGGGATGCACACTTCTTAATGAGAAAGGTCTTTGGCTTCAAATCTGGATGCTCAAATTCCTCAACACTGCGGGCCCAAATTAATTAGTTTCTCAGGCAAGGCCATTGTGTTGTCTTGACTCTCACGATCTCAAGTTCTCTCAGAAAGTGGGAGCTGAAGCATCATATTTCCCAAGCTTAATCCTAGCTATTTTGGTGAGATGGAACTGAGAAAGAAAAATACTGTTTCTATCACAGGATTTCATTATCAATATACCACAGTGTCTGATGCTGCCAGCTGCCAGCATTAAAAAACATTAAAATATAAAATGTTCAGCCAAAGATACACAACATGTTGGCTTTTCTTAAGAGGTATTTTGCTGTGCTAAACAGTGCCAGTGAAAGTAAGTTATCCTTTCATAGACAATCCTAGGAACTTAACACCACAGGTGATTCACTCAATACTGTTTCTTTAAACCAATGGTCTTCAAAGAGGGAAACAATAGCATCCAGGGGTCTGCAAGACATTATGTTAGAGTGCAGAAAGAAAACATTAATTTATCTAAAAAAAATAAAGATATTAAGGTATACCAATATAGAGAATATTTAAAATGTAGCATTTGTATCTTGAGGACATGTTTTATAATGTACATATTAGTACACTGTAACATGTATATAATTTATACATGAATATATAGTACATATATGTGGGCAGGGGCCCATGTTCAACACATCGTTACTGTTGGATAGTTTTTCACTATAAGGGTGTGCAACCAAAAGAATTGTGAGGACATTCTAGACAATAACTTTATTATGTGAGAGGCTGATTCTCAGTGGGTGTAGGGAAGAAGGTCCCCATCCAACTTAGAGAAGGTGGTTCCCTAACAAGTTTTTATGGCTTCTTTCAAAAACCGAAAGGGAAAGCAAAGTGGACCAGCAGTAGTGCTACAGAGGGTCATTTTCTTTCTTTCTTTTTCCATTTTTAAAAAATGCTTCTCTGTTCCAAAACCATCCACAAGTGGTTCCTCTTCTTCTTGCAGCATTCTGAAGGGCACATGCAGCCCACAATCTCATATCTGAAATTCCCCCTTTATCCTCACATTGTGCTTAAACAGACCAAGTAGCTATATTGGCTCAAGTGTAAATTTGGTTAATGATGCACGTGTGGCTTAGATTGAGAGATTAATCCAGCCCTGTAACATGGTTTATGAGTCAAACTATCTGGCATAATAAAAAAAATGGAGTAACATGTGTGGCAGGGAATAGCATTGGAAGAATCTGAAGCAAAACAAGATAAGATGGGATGGGATTGGTTGGGATGGGAGAGATAGGATGGGGAAAAAAGTATTTTATTTCTTGCTGCAACTGCTGAGTTCCTAATTGCCTTCTCATACCATTGCTTCTTTATTATTGTAAAAAGCAGCCATTCAGATACTGTTATGTGTGTTTATATAGATTATGGGAGGGTGGGGTTCAGCTGCCCCTTCATAAAGTACCTTTTCTTAAGTGCTGCTATACAGTTAGGCTTCCCTAAATTTTTCATCATTATCACAATACTTTAATCAATCCCCTTTAGTACCTTTCAGATCCTGCATAATGTAGGAAGTTTTTAAAATGAGGTAGGTTTGCCCACAAATTAATGCTAGCATCGTATCAATGTACAATATACAAAAGGATTTTATATGCATGTAGTGTTTTAGTGATGGGCTGGTTTTTTGTTTTTGTACACCACTCAGAATCTGATGGACTGCGAGGTCTATAAATATGGTAAATAAATAAAGAAGTAGGGGGATATTCTGAATGGTATTACTAGTTTCTGGTTTGAGGAGGCCTGGGAAGACCTTTTCATGTTGATCCCCTGCTTCAGGTCTTTCTGATGACAACAGCATTCCAAGTCAGAGGATTGTTATGCCAATTTCTTACAATCCCTGCTGCCCTTTATAGTACTGTACTGAAAACGGAAGTTCATCGAGCCAGATGCTAATGGAGAAACTTCATTTCTTCAGTGCCCAGTGGGGCTTTCTCCACTTGCATCTAATCAAGAAGACAAAACATGTCTACATCATCTTGTTTTGGCCATGTGCCCACGATGTTGCTTTCATCTCCATCCCTTGAGTGAGCAGACTTGAGTCAGCTTTCATTGTACCTGACTTAAAGTAAAAGACATTTCCATATCTTGAGGCTGCACTTATTCTGACACCATAAAATGCTAGCCTCAAGTCAAGATATGTAAAATCTGCTAAACTTCATTGTCCAGGACCTCTGAGGGAAGTCAGCAGACTGCAATGACCGAGAATTAATATGACAGGACCCAGCATTCATGGAATTGGTAGAAGCTGCTTTCATTAGAGAAAAGCCTTTCTAAACATTAACCTTCTCTTTTTTGTTGTTATTGTATTTTTGGGGGCAAGAATTTTTTTGAAATTAAACAATCAATTACCAAGAATAACTATGTAAATTGGGTTTCCCAGTGTTTACTTTTAGAAAACTAGTCATCTAGGTATAACTTTGTAAGCTGCCCTGAGTCTCTGGAGAAGAATGAATGAATGAATGAATGAATGAATGAATGAATGAATGAATGAATGAATGAATGAATAAACAAACAAACAAACAAATAAACTGCTAAGAAGATGAGGCAAATGAAGGTCTAGACAAGGACCTACCTTTATTATAAATCCATCTCCAAACCTGTTGTGCTCCTGTTCCATGTGTTAATGAATGATACTCCTGGATATGGTATTAAGTACTAGTTACCACACCAAAGTACTGGTTACCACATTCACAAGAATGGGAATTATTCAGGCAATTGCAGCAGGCCATATTTAGAATATTTGAATATTCTGAATAGGAAATATTTAAATAGAGGTTCCTTGCAGATTAGAACAAGAAGACATCATGGAATTTTCTTATTTCCTTCCAGGTGTTGACGTTTCCCTCTATAAGAAATTCCCTGGCCTGGCTGGAGGCTCCCTGCTTTGTCCAGCAGTCCCTGACTCTCTGAATACAACTGCCATTCCTACCCGCCGTCGACACCGCACTACCTTCAGCCAGGACCAACTAGACCATCTGGAGACAGCTTTTGCAAAAAACCATTACCCTGATATTTATTGCCGAGAGGAACTGGCCAAGGCTACCAAACTCAATGAAGCTCGCATCCAGGTACCTGATCTATAGAACCAGAGAACTTCTGATTAATGGTCTACTAGACACATTAAACTAGCCCGAAAAGGCTTTTTAGAAATTGGGTAAATAAAGCAGCCATGGGTTGTCCCTTGCTTTATACCAAAGAATCTGTTTTCCATCAGGAGTGCTAATGGAAATTCATACTGGATAAAATTCACAGAACATGGACAGAACCATCTATTTCCCTCTAAAATATTTTCTGGCAACCCTTCCTCTTTTCCTCCTCAAATGGCTGTCAGACAAGCAAGGTATTGTGTTTGCTAGAGTTCATTGCTAATATGAGCCTGCTAGGTCAAGGGCCACAAGAAACGGAGGCTCGTTAATCATGTGCCCACCCGCTCACTGCCCATCCGTACTACAAACCACCACAGATTAAAGGATGTGTCAGCATCAGCTTTCCTGCTTTAGCTGCCATAAGAAACGGGGAGGGATTAGGTATGGAGCAGAGGGGGGGAAGAGAGCAGGAGGGGGTTTGTCTTTGTAGGAGGGTACTTCGGGGAAATCGAAACTACATTTCAGAAGGGGATGGCCGACCAACTGTCCTGACATTCCTGATGGATGACGCTGCCAGACGTGTTGCCACCTGACCTTTGGAAGACCTTTAGATTGGCTGAGAAACTATAAACACGAGGGGGGGAAGAAGCTTAGTAGATGCATTTCGCGCGTTTTGATCACTTCCAGCTTTTCACTGGGATGTTAATCTTTTCATATTCAGTAAAAGTACCAAATTCTTCAAAATGCTTGAGTTTGGGGTTTTCTTTCCTGGATACTGAAGGAAGCATACCTGACATTAAGCTGGAAGTCATCTCAGTCATCCCGGACAAAACCCGAGGGGACTGAAAATCCAAAGTATGTCAGATCGTGGGAGTGATGACGAAGGGAAGATGGGGGCAGCAAGTTCAACCGCCCTCCAGTCGGAAAGAGAAACTGCAGAATGGCTGGAAAAACTCCGTTTGGAACCGGAGGAAGCTAGATGGTCCAAGGGTGTGGGCAGACTGCCGGACTGGGGAGAGAATCCCCGGGGAGTGACGACTTCCAGACCCCGGAAAAGGGAGGCAGTGTGGATGCAACAGCAGAAGGAACGTCTCATGATAGATCAAGCCTTGCAGCTTATCCGTGATGTGGAAGAAAGCAGAAAAAACCGTGAGTCTTTTGAAACTCCTGTGGAAAAGGGGGAAGCAGACCCCAGGGGGGAGGCAGAAGAGACAGCCTGCGGGGGAGAGGAAGAGTTTGAGGAGGGAACATCCCAGGCTTCGGCAGCTCGAGGAAGAGATGCAGCCGGCCAGAGAACCCCAGCCCTGCAGGCCCCCCCCCCGCAGACGTAAAAAGCCAAAAATCCCCCCCCTTCCTGGAAAGTTTGATGGAAATCCTAAAACCTTGGGATTTTTCCTGACCCAAGTGTGGAACCACATGCAAGATTGGGGGGAGGACTACGAAACAGAGGCGGCTAAAGTCAGAAGCGTTGCGAATGCCCTAGAGGGAGTGGCGGCTGAGTGGATGGTAGTTCTCCACAATAACAACTCCCTCCTGCTGAGAAATTACAACCAGTTCATGAGGGCCCTTAGAAGACGTTTTGAAGATCATTTAGCTGAACGAAAGGCGAGACTCAGAATGAAGAGCATTCAGCAGGGCCGGAGGCCGGTGGCAGAGTATATCCAAGAGTTTCGTGAACTGGCACCTTATATGACAGGCTGGTCAGAAATGGCGCTTTTGGAGAGTTTCAAGGATGGATTGAATGATGAGATATATCGAGATTGCAGGAGCATGGGGGTCCCCGATGATTTGGATAGATGGTACATAGTAGCTGAGGATGTGGAGATCGAGCTGAAACGGAGTGAACTCCGAGGAAGGCGGATGGGGGACCAGTCATCCTCTCTCTACCGTAAGGGGGCGGCCAAGATGACTGGCGGGAAGACCGAATTCAAACCCAAGTCAAAGCCCTTCACCTGTTTCAAATGTGGGAAGGAGGGTCACCGGGCGGCCGAATGTCTCTCCAAACCACCGCCAAAAGCCACCGGGGCCAGCCAAAAGAAAAGCGATAAAATACCCGCCAAAACCCGCGGCACCGCCCTGAAAGGAGAAGTCGTTGAGTTCACTCCCCGGAACCAGCGTGAGTTGGGAACTCCGACCAACGATGACGACAGCGAGACAGACTCCGACTCGGACACCGATGAACGGGTGAGTCACACGGAAGAACCCTTACTCATCCCCGTAGAAGTAAGGGTGCCCTCCACAGGAACTCACGCGCAATTGTTAGCCCTGTTGGACTCGGGGTGCACTAGGTGCATAATTAGCCCCAAAGTAGTGGAGGAAATGGGACTGAGACTGAAAACGTTAAAAAGACCCATTGCATTTTGTCAATTAGATGGATCGATTGCAGGGGGGGGCCCAGCTAGTTTTATGACCGAACCCCTCGAACTACACTTGGGGAATCACATAGAAAAGCTCAGCTTTATTGTAGCCCCTGGCATGGAAAGGCCCCTAATTCTAGGACTGCCCTGGCTTCGAAAATGGAACCCACGAGTAAATTGGAAAACGGGGGTCCTGCGCATCCGTACGGCAGAACCACCTCCCGAAAAGGAAGGCCCCTCCCTAAGGGACGACATAAGACCAGAAGGGGCCGCAGTAGCCATTAACTATATTGAGGGAGAAGAGAAAATTCCGAAGGAATATTGGGACCTCAAGGAAGTGTTTAGTGAAAAAGCTTCTGATAATCTGCCTCCCCACAGGGCCACTGACTGCACCATTGAAATACTCCCAGGGGTGAAGCTTCCCAAACCAAAAATATACCCCATGACACCTCGAGAATTGGAGGAATTGCGAAATTTTATTGACAAAAACTTAGAACGGGGATTTATCGAACGAGCCAAACCCAAGGTAGCAGCGCCAGTAATGTTCCGCGAAAAGAAAGATGGATCCTTCAGATTAGTTGTTGATTATAGAAACATGAACGCCATTTGCGTGGAAAATGTCTATCCCCTCCCACTTATGAAGGACATGTTGGCCCATTTAGGAAAGGGAAAAATTTTTACCAAACTTGATTTAAGAGAGGCATACTACCGAGTAAGAATAAAAGAGGGAGATGAATGGAAGACAGCATTTAATTGCCCACTGGGGTGTTTCCAATTTAGAGTACTCCCTTTTGGACTACAGGGGGCCCCGGCCGTATTCATGCAGTTGATCAACGAAGTGTTGCATGAGCATCTATATAAGGGGGTGTTGGTCTATTTGGACGATATTCTAATTTATTCTGACAACATGGCCGACCATATAAGATTGGTTCGAGCGGTCTTGAATAAACTCAGAGCAGCTGAACTCTATGCCAAACTTTCTAAATGTGAATTCCATCAAGACAAAATCGACTATCTTGGATATCGTATATCGCATGAGGGAATAGAGATGGACCCGGAAAAGGTCCGGGCAGTAATGGAATGGGCCGCACCGCGCACCCGTAAACAGTTACAGAGTTTCTTAGGGTTTGCTAACTTTTATAGACAATTTATCCCCTCTTTCGCAAAAATCGCACTGCCAATTACAAACTTGCTCAAAACAAAAGGGGAAATAAAACCCAAACCCTCGAAACCACTAGAATGGACTATGGACTGTCAGGCCGCTTTCGAAAAACTGAAAAGGCTGTTTGCAGCTGAACCTGTGCTCAAACACCCCGACATAGAACAACCTTTTGTAATACAAGCGGATGCTAGCGACGTTGCCGTAGGAGCGATACTCTTGCAAAAGAATGAGAATGGAATATTACAACCCTGTGCTTACACATCCCGTAAACTATCTGAAACAGAAAGGAGATGGGCCATATGGGAGAAGGAAGCGTTTGCAGTTAGATGGGCGCTGTTAACATGGAGACAATTTTTGGAGGGGGCAAAACATCCTTTCGAGGTGTGGACTGACCATAAGAATCTAGAAGCATTAAAAACACCACGCAAATTGTCACCCAAACAGGCACGCTGGGCCCAACATTTCAAGCGTTTCAATTTCACTTTACGTTACCTTCCTGGGGGAAAAAATTTCATGGCAGACGCACTTTCCAGATTGCCACAGTACAACAGCATAAAGAAGGAACTGGTTCAACCAATGATCCCCTTAACGCAATTGGCAACACCCGTCACTACCAGAGCGCAGAGTAAAACCGATCCAGAACTCTCAGGGGATTTACTCGAAAAGTTACGAGAAGCACTAAAAGTTGACGAGTGGTTTAAACTCCACTCGAATGAATGCACACTTCGCGATGGACTAGCTTGGGTTGGATCGAAATTGTATGTTCCGTCCACATTAAGACCAACCGTATTGAAATATGCGCATGATGCCAAAGCCGCAGGACACTTTGCGTTTGTCAAAACTTTACATCTTGTTAAGAGACAGTTTTGGTGGCCTGCACTAAAAAAGGACATACAGACATATGTGGCTAGTTGTCCAGTATGTGCCTCGGCTAAAAGACCTCCAGGAAAATCCCCTGGATTACTGCAAAGTGTGGCTAGACCGAACGCCCCATGGAAGGAAATATCTATGGATTTTGTGGTGGACTTACCCGACAGTGAGGGCTGCACTGTCATTTGGGTAGTAACTGATTTGTTTTCTAAACAAGTACATTTCATACCTTGCTCAAAGATCCCTTCAGCAAAAACCCTCGCAAAGTTGTTTATTCGGCAGATTTACCGACTACATGGGTCTCCTAAAAGAATAATTTCTGATAGGGGTGTGCAATTTACTTCCAGTTTCTGGAGAGAATTTTTAAGATTGATAGGCTCCGCACAGGGGTTGAGTTCCAGTCACCACCCTCAGACAAATGGTGCTTGTGAAAGAACCAATGGGGTACTCGAACAATACCTTAGATGTGAATTGGTTTGATTTGTAACTATTTAATGTTACAAATGCTTTCCTTTTATATTTTGAATTTTAAGTGAATTTATTGCCCAATAATATTTTAGTATTTTCTTAATCCTGAAATTTGGCATCTATTTAACCTTAAATATTCAGTACAGCATTCAGCATAAATTTGAGGCATTCACAATCTATGTGATGCAGTAACAGCTAAATCACTTACCAATTCTGTTAAGGAGGATTTCAGCTGAGAATGCAAAATCCCAGTAGTTGCCAAGAACCTCCCTTGGCCCTTTAGACAAACATGGCTGTTATGCAATTTTGCCCTTACTATACTATTCATAATTGGCTTTTGCTCTGTCCTTGTCAGGTGTGGTTCCAGAACCGGCGGGCAAAGCAGCGAAAGCAAGAACGGGCCCTACCAAAGCCAACCACGCCTGCTGTTCTTTCTATCTGCCCCATTCCTGTACCTCCTCCTCGACAATACCAATATTCCCCCACACTTGGACCACATTCTCATTTATCCCACTTCCCTTCCACCTACACTCTACCACCCCCCTCTCCTACTTCTGCCCCTTTTCCTTGTTCTGTCCCTCATCATCCTCAAAGCCCTCGTAGTCATGAAGACTGGTATAATTCACTGCGCACTTTCGGCTCTTCTACAGCTACTCCATCCACTTCTATGCTCTCTCTTAATCTTGATTCCGGTGTACACTGGGACTAGGAGCTGTTTGCTTGCAGGAACTGAGGGGAAGTACAGGTAGTGGAGGTCATGATAAAGATACCCAAAGGTGTCCTGTTCATTTTTTTCTGGCAAAGCTGTTTTCTAGGCACGTTTTCAGTCTCAAAGGGTTTGTGCTTCAAACATCTTTATTCCAATTTGACACAGAATAAACCAAAATCAGCTGGGCCGCAGATGACAAAACTTAAAACTGAGGACCAATGTGTATAGCAGTATCAAATTTTAATAAATAAACAAACAAATGTGACTTTTGAATAAAATAATGTACAGGTAGTCCTCTATTTACAACCATTTGTTTAATGACTGTTCAAAGTTACAACAGCCTGAAAAAAAGTGACTTATGACCTTTTTCTCACTTATGACCATTCCAGCATCCCCATGGTCACATGATCAAAACTTGGATGTTTGCTAACTGGCATGTATTTAAGATGGTTGCAGTGACTTGGGGTCATGCAATCACTTATTGTGTCTTTCTGACAAGCAAAGTCAATGGGGAAGTGAGATTCTCTTAACAACCGTGTCACAACTTTAACTGAGTGATTCACTTAATAACTGTGGCAAAAAAGGACATAAAGTGGGGCAAAACTCACTTAACAACTGTCTTGCTTAGTAATGCAACTTTTGGGCTCGATTGTAGTCATAAGTTGAGAACAACCTGTACAAACTTTAATCTAAACAAATGCTATTACAAAATGATCTATACAATCTGTTAGAACTTTGGAATAGAGTCTGAAAATCAAATGCTTCAGACAGATAGGCATGACATAAAACCTTTCCTAATCACTTTATAGATGTTTCTGTTCAAAGTGATGGCAGTCAATTTCCAAGAAAATCCTGTGGTTATGTCCATGTAGTTATCAGGAGCCAAGTTCAATCTGAGGGTTCTACTGTTTTTCCTTCAGGGGAACATGCATACCATTCCTCTTCCACTACTTTCCCACAACAGTCCTAGTTTAGCCCCATAACATGTTTCTCTACGCATACTGAATTGAAATTTAACTTCCATTACTGTGATGGAGTGTAGTAAGCTAAGATTCTCAAAGTGGGGAGGGGGTGCATTGCAGAGGAGTAAGTCAATTCAGCCCAGATGCTATGTGTGTGAGAAAGAGGGTGAAGCCTCTCCCTAATAGTTCACAGAATATATTGTAGATGCAGATAGTAGAATGCCCAGTCTGGCAAGATTTTTGTCCTTAGGTGTGGAACAATAAAGAACTCCATTTGGAAGAATCATGTGTCATTCTTGGTTTTCAACCTGACAATTACCCTCACACAGCATAATGCTCATAATATCAGGGAGTGAAAAATGTTTTAGTCCAGCAACTGGAAAGTACAAGCTTGCAGAGAGATGATAATATTTCTTGTGGACCATGGATAACAACATTCTTTTTTTTTAAATTTTTTTAAATTTTTATACACAAACAAACATTTAATACATCAGTCATTCCTTCCATGTGACATCTCGGTGTTTTCTCCATGACTTTGTCTTTTTGTTGTTTCTTCTGTCTTCATTTTTACTTAATCTACTACAACATTTCTCCAAAAGGACAATATTCTAATTATACCATTTTCTTACATAACTATTAGTTTGCTTATCTATATCTTTTTTCTAACCAATGGTAAAATTGATCCCATATCTTAAAATATTTTGAATCCTCTCTTTAATTATCAAAGTTAATCTATTCATTTCTGCACAGTCTAAATTTTTTTTTAATTACTTTTCCTTCCAAGATAATAACATTCTGTAGTTCTGCACATCTGCCTTTTTTCTCAAGTACTGTCAAGCCTGATTTTAAATACAGGTAAGAGAGATAAAACCGTAATCCTGACTTTAAATCTAGATAAAAGAGATATGAAAATAGACTCAAGATTCAATCCCTTCCTAGCCTACCACTTCTGCTATACTTACAAAGCAATAGCTATGTTCCATTTCAGTTCCCGAGAATATTTTCTAAATATTTTCACACACTTGATGCCGGTCATTCAATGACAATTTTGCCTTTCAAAATAAATGTTTCATGCTACTTCTCAGCTCCTGACACTCCCTTGCTTCACTTTACAAACTATAATAAAAATATCAGCGGGGAAAGTGGGCTTCAATCCCCCAAAGGAAAGAAAGTTGCTATACACCTCAGATATCATACAACCACCTCAACAAGTTTCTGCCCCTTTTCTCCAGCCTCATTACACATTGTTGGGGGAGAGGGAGAGGGATCAGTTCAGTAGTGAAATCCTCCACAGATTGCCACTGGCTCGCTGCCCGTGCATGCACAGTGCACATCAAATGCACGCTGCATGCACACAAGTGCAGTGTGTGCCAAGTGCATGCTGCACACATGCGCAGTGCATGCCAAATGCATGCTGCGCGTGCACATATGTGCAGTGCGCACCAAATATGCGCTTCATGCGGAAAAAGGCCTAACAAGGTAAGTAGAACAGCGAGGGGGAGGAACAGCTGTGCCGCGCGATTTAGATTCACTAGAAAGCAGGAAATCCTGCTTTCTAGGGAATATAAATCGCGCGGCACAGCTGATCGTCGGAAATACCAGTTTGGATGAATCGGTAGCTTTTACCACTACCGGTTCACCTGAACCGGTGCGAACCGGTAGCATTTCACCCCTGGATCAGTTTGATTCACTACTTTCAGAGCACTTCTGATAAATATCTATTTGAAACATCAATAAGAGTTTATGTAATGGTCAATATCAACATGAATCCAGCTTTTTTTACTCCAAATCACCTGCACGTCATGTATATTCAGAAGCAACATTCATTGCTTGTGATATTTTGGAAAAGCTGCTAAGAAAAGAGTGCCAGGTATGGATTTGGATCCACTTCCTTGCATGAGTGAATATCCCAATGCATCCAGGCACTTATCCAATGTTTAGGCTGCAATTTACTATACACGTATTCAGTATGCTCACATCTCAACAGGCATGTGCAAGACATGCATTAACTTCTCTAGGTGCTGAAGGTGAGCTTAGACCTTGAGAAAATCTGAAATTGAGATGATTTTTTCTGGGAAAGAGATTAAAAATTATGATGTTCCCTTTATGTATACGTTGCAATCAGCTTTTGAGCATAATTCAAGGGGCTAGTTATTACCTATGAACCATTGTATGGCATAGGGCCCGGATATCTGAGGGATCACTTACCTCTAATAATTTCTGTCCACTCAGTAAATTTTAGCAGAGTGGGTGAATTATGCCATTGTTCTAATTCAGACAAAAGTGGCAAGATCCCTATTATCCCTATCTTCTGCGGGAGGGTTGTATATGCTGCTCTGAACTCTGGGCATACAGCAGTATAGCTATATTGGTTAGCCCCACAAAATAACTCCTTTCTACTCCTATCACCTGCAAATCCAGTCACAGCAGAGAATCAAGGAATATTTCCAGATTGCAGACACGTCCTTTCCAAATGAATAACAGAATAACAGAGTTGGAAGATCTTGGAGATCTTCTAATCTAGTCCAAATACCTGCTCAAGCAGGAAACTCCATACCATTCCAGACAATTGGCTGTCCAGTCTCTTCTTAAAAGCCTCCAGTGATAAGAGCACCCACAATTTCTGAAGGCAAGATGTTCCATTGGTTAACTGTTCTGTTAGGAAATTTCTTATTTCTTGGTTGCTTCTCTACTTGATTAGTTTCCATTCATTGTTTCTTCTCTTGCCTTCTGGTGCTTTGGAAAATAGGTTCAACCCCCTTTTTTGTAGAAACCCCTCAAATATTGGAACACTGCTATCATGTCACTCCTAGTCTTTCTTTTCATTAGATTGGACAAATCCAATTCCTGCAACCATTCATGTTTTAGTTAACTTATTTATGTCTTCATGTTTTAGAATCTTGTTTGCTATTCACAAATAGAAGTTATTTGGGGGGGCAATATATTCAAGCTTCCTAGTAAGCCAGCAGGAGCAGATCATGATCCTCTCAGCAGCATTTCTTGTCTTTAAATATATGCCGAACCCAAGGGGAGAAAGGAGATGTGACGGCAACCTTTTGTGCTTATCCTAGCAACTACAATACATGCCAGAGATAGCTATGTTTGTAAAACTCAAGTTATCTTGACTGCTAGAATGGAAAAAGTTCAGAATGAAATGACAAAACTTGCATCTCCATAGTCACACAAGAGATATCTCTAGGCCCCATCTGCTCTTTCACAGATTGGGGACAGAATTGAAGTGACAGCACACTATTCAATGAGGGAACCCTACACTAACAACTGATTGTGCTGACTAGGTGATTATGGAGGAGTAAGCGTTCACTGTAATGTATTTACATAGCATCATGCTGGTCAACCTGCTCTCCCCCTTCAAAGGATTTCCTGAGTAGACATGCACATAATTAGATTGTTAAGCTCTGACCGACAAAAGCTCCTTTTTAAAAAATCTTCAGAAAAAATATACACCGCTCAAAAAAATAAAGGGAACACAAGCAGGAGACATCCGAGATCTGAATGAATGAAATAGCGTTATTAAATACTTTGTTCGTTACATACAGTAGTTTTGTGTTCCCTTTAGTTGTTTGAGCAGTGTATAAACTACTGTATATAAAGAACAAAGTATTTAATAAAGCTATTTCATTCATTCAGATCTCAGATGTCTCCTGCTTGTGTTCCCTTTATTTTTTTGAGCAGTATATTTATTATTGGATTTATAAGACCACTCAACTCAATAATGGTGGCATGCAAAAAAGAACAAACCAAAGCCCCCCAAAAAACCACATGAGAGAACTTTTTCTTCCCAAGCATTCTTCCTTTCGTAGCCAAACAGGCATTTCTTCTCCTCTTGCCTAACAACTGGGCAACTTTTATGTCAGAATACACCGACTCAAGACCCACAAATCCCCATTACTCAAACGAGCAAAAGACGAGAGCATTAATTTCTCAAACTTTTTCATAGGCTGCCGTCATGTCAGGCAGGAAAAAAACTGGTAGGAACACTTTTGAAGTGCGGGAGAACTCTAGCTCTCTGCCGCCATCTCGTGGTTGCCCGGAGTTCTGCAGTCTAGTTATGACGATCATACTCGACCTCGGATACATCTGCCTGCTTCTTCGTGTTCCCATCCTCTGGCTACACACGTGGAATCGTGCAGTCAGAACCGAAAACGAAAGCAGATCCATTTAAATAGAAATAATAAGAGGCGGGATTAAAAACAACTTTACAAGTACACGTATCTCAAGGTAACATGGGAAAGTATCCAGAAGACACTTTCACATCAAAAAAAAAGCTAGCGATCGTGCGTGCATCAGTCAGCATTTAAGGTCCACCTACGAGTCA